CATCCATTTAGGAATACAAACTTTTATACACTTTAATGGCATATCACAAAATTTTTGGTTTGTTTGCAAGTATTCCTATATAAGCGTGAATTTTTTGCTTTAGGTCATTTATTAATGTCAGACTGTCATTAATTTCAAGTCTTATTATCGTTTTATGTCTTCAACTATCGGAAATTTGTTTTTGGTTAAAAGAACCTTAAAAGCAAATTTAAATAAAAATTACCACGAATTAAACGTTTACATCGAGGATATCACTCGGAGTTAAATTAAGGAAGTTTATATGGAACATCCCTGCCTTTGTTAACCTAACTCACAATTTAAGTCTCTAGCAGACAGTGCAGCGTATGCATTTGAAATATTAATAGAATCTCTCAGCACTGTGAACGTAAACTCAGTTTGTTCTTTCAATTCAAAAAATATATTAACTATCTTTAAAAAACGTTCTATGCATTTCTGGCACATGGAATGCCAAAACTGGACACCAATTATATTGGTAAGTGCTTTTACACCAGCTAGATTCCACCAAAATAGGTAATTCTTCCAAACCGTCATCTAAAAACGTTTTGATATGTATACCTATACATTTAACTCTTCATTTAATTATTACAAGGAAATCTTTAACGTGCTCGTCGTTTTCGAAATCCTTCGACGGAATTAACAAAATTCCATCCGAGTCGATTCTAGTTTTGTCAAATTCTGCACCATGGTCGTCGTTCAAAGTATTAGCCCCACCCACCCGCCCTCTGTTTTCTTAGAGGGTATGTCATTTGCAAAAATCAGTTTTATCATAGCAAGTACTAACCCCACCCACCCGATTTCTTCACATTCTAACAACTAATTTTATTTCTGTTTAGTATTAGATACACCTTTCATTCAAAGCAGATAAATGAATCACTGAAATGAAGGGGTGGGTGGGTGGGCGAAGCTAGTGCTTGTTCATAGTCTATTGAAAAAGTTGAACATAGCCCTGCCCACTTCCTTCCTCATTTGACTTACTTATTTTATTTATTGTGAAATGGGAGTTGAATTCTATTTTGGCAAGCGGAATAATCTAAGATTTAAAACAAAGTCAAAAATGCTAGCCCAACCCACACGCCCGTCCTCTGTCTTCCTAGAAAGTATATCATTTGCCAAATTCAGTCTTACCGTAGCAGATACTAGCCCCACCCAACCGCCCATATTTTTTTAGAGGGTATATCATGTGCCAAAATCAATTTTATCATAGCAAGTATTAACCCCGCCCACCCGGGATTTTCTCATACTAACTACTGATTTTATTTCTGTTTAGTATTAGATCCACCTTTCATTCAGAGCAGTCAAATGAATCACTGAAATGAAGATGGGTGGGTGGGCGGGGCTTATAAGTTTATCGAAAAAATTGAACATAGTCCCACCCAATTCGTTCCTCATTTGACTAACTTGTTTTATTTATTGTGAAATGGGAATTTAATTTTATTTTGACAAGCAGAAGAATCTAGGGTTCAAAACAAAATCAAAAGTGCTAGCTCCACCCACCTGCCCGCGCTCTGTGTCTTTTTAGAAGGTATATCATTTGCCAAATTCAGTCTTATAGTAACAGGTATTAACAACACCCACCCACCCTCCGTTTTCTTAGAGGGTATGTCATGTGCCAAAATCAGCTTTATCATACCAAGCACTAACCCCACCCACCCGATTTCTTCCCATTCTAACAATTAATTTTATTTCTGTTTAGTATTAGATACACCTTTCATTCAGAGCAGATAAATGAATCACTGAAATGAAGGTGGGTGGGTGGGCAGGGCTAGTGCTTGCTCATAAGTCTATCGAAAAAGTGGAACGTAGCTCCGCCCACCTCCTGCCTCATTTGACTAACTTATTTTATTTATTGTGAAATGGAAATTGAATTTTATTTTGACAAGCGGAAGAATCTAAAATTTAAAACAAAGTTAAAACTGCTAGCTCCACCCACCTGCCCGCCCTCTGTGTCTTCCTAGAAGGTATATCATTTGCCAAATTCAGTCTTATAGTAGCAGGTATTTTGTTTTTTTTTCTTTTTATATCTGTGTGGTTTTCTATCCACGACAAGAAACTGAAAACTTGTTTAAATTAATGGTGAATTTGTAGAGATGTGTGGGAGATAAAATTTACCATTTTAAACATGTTTTCAGTCTTTTCTTGTGAAGGGTTTGTATATTAAGAAGAAAAAAAAAGTCAAATCGTAGGCCCCGCCCACCCACCCTGCCTCAATTGTGACCACGTTTCTTTATTCGGTGTTAGCGAGGAGGCGGAGCCTAATTGTAAAATCCTTATTTTTCGACGAGAAATTACCATGTGAAAGATGTTCTTAAGTAAACGTGTTGTTCAAAGAAAAGATTTAAGTTGGAAAGAAAGCAAGCCAAAATTAATCTCCGGCCCTCAGTTCACAACGAATAAGAAAATTCATCACAATTGAGATGAGGGTGGGTGGGCGGGGTTAGCATTTTGTCTTTTTTTTTCTTATGTGTGCGCAGTTTTCTATTCACGATAAGAAACTGAAAACTTGTTTAAATTGGTAAATTCCTAGAGAAGTGTGCGAGATAAAATTTGCCATCTTAAACAAGTTTTCAGTCTTTTGTTATGAAGAGTATGTACATTAAAAAGAAAAAAAAGTCAAATTATATGCCCCGCCCACCCACCCTGTCTCAGTTGTGACGATTTTGCTTTATTCGTTGTGAGCAAGGAGGCGGAGCTTAATTGCATGTAGTGATAGTAAAAATTGGACATAACCAGTATGACTTTGTTTCTAAATAAACAGTAGGCAAACTATAGAAACAAAAAAAGACTGAAACCACGGAAATGAAATTTAAATTTAGTTTTCGCTTTGAAATTTAATGTTAAAAAAATACTGTTGGCAACACCAGCGCGCTTTTTATTCAGTTTGACAGTTATGGCAATTCTGATAAGTGTCAAGCATAGTGTAGTCCGAACATCAGTATTTTAAAAATAAATTTCATGACCTATCAAAGAACAAATGCACTATAAGTTTTTATCACCCTGTAGGTTGAGCTACCTATCAGGCGCGTCCCCAGGTTGCGGATAGAGGGAGTGTCCCGTCAAGGGGACCGTACCGGTATTGTCTGGGGAGGGTGGACATGGCCCTCTGGCACTAAACACTCCTGGGGGTGGTGGAAGTCCGATTTGGCTTTTTTCCTTCTCCAGGAATAAACCCCTGGCGTTGGGTCGTCAAAACAGCCACCAAAATGGGAGATCGAGGCTAACCCATCTCAGATCAATCGGCTGCGTCGTCAAGTTAGACCACCGACAAGGTGACTTCTAGGAGAAGTGTAGCCTGTGTACCTGCAGGATGAGTTTCCCTGGGGGCTATATCCTTCTGCTAGCCCTGGCGTCGAAGTTCGACGTCCCCTTGTTGGGCTCCGTGTAGGTGGGGACGCAGAAGGATGAAATCAAAATCCAAGTTATGAATAATAAAATAACAAAACTCACTGAGGAAGTGCCTTCGGGTGCACTCAAATTAAAAACCCAGCCACTGTGGGGTTGCAGCCTCCTAGGAACAAACGAATCTGAATGGCTGAGGTAAAAAGGCGGAGGAAGGCTCGCTTACAAGCAGAGGCGGCGAATGTCGACCCGCCGAAACCAGGTCTTCGGGATAAATCCCAAGGGCAAAGGGCAAGCTATTAGCCAACCCTAAACAACCCAGAGGGAAAAAGACCGCAGGGTCAAAAAAGAGAGTGCGGTCTTCAACCTCCACATCACCTCTAAAGAACATATCTACAGGGAGGTAACTGCAAGTCATCTCCGTGTAGCTGTGATTGATGTACAGCATCCACTTGGTAAGCTGGCTGCTGACCAGGTGGGGATGGTACAAAATGTCCTGATGGGAGAACTGGACAGAAAACTTGAACAGTGCCTGGCATCGGGAAGACAAGCAGCCACTTTCAGGGGCATCAAGTACAAAGAGAAATCCTAGGATAAGCTATATAGCCGAGATGTCTCTGGAATGGCTAAAACAAACAGTGCGCTCTCTAATACTCTTGTGGGAAGGCACACAACTTAACGTGGTCCCCTTGGCTGAGCTACCAAGGTTGATGAGGACGATCCTGTGGATGCAGAGGTCGTACTTCGCCGCCTGGAAGGTCAGAACGAATAGGCTCGAGTTAAAAATGGCTTCTTTTCCATCACGAGGCCAAACCCGAGGCTGTCTTTCCAGGCAACTTCTTTCTGTTTGGTCTTGGGATGGATGAGGCCAAAACAATCAGGGAGAGAGAGGGCAGGATCAACTATGTATATGTTGTCTTTTTTCAACCTGAAACTTAAGGGGAACGAGGCGTCGACTCAGGAAAGGCAGATTCCTATGGAAGAGTCAGAAATCCCAGGAGATGAAGCCTCCACCAGTGGGGGCGGGCTCGCCTGAGATATAATCCTCGTGTCTCCTAAGACAGGTATGACGTGTTTGGTTGCAAAGATGGCGTTGCAGCAGATAAATTTCATTCAGATTAACCTGCAGCATTGTCGCACCAGACCGTAAGTTAACAAAATTTTATCTCTCACTTTCAAGGGACAAACTGCTAGGATTCTTTACGGAACATTATCAGTTTGACAAACATCTACATACGATAGGTTTGGTAACAGACCCAATCTCATGTGGATGCAATAAAGAAAAGGAAACAGCTGAGCACATTCTTCGTGAGTGTCCAGCGCTAGCCTCCTACAGGAAATCCATACTAGGGGACATCTGGCCTAGTATTCCAAAAATCAGGGAGTTCCCACCCTCTGCATTACTCAAGCACATTTAAGCAGTTGGGTAGCTTGACGAGTAGAGGAGCGGAAAAACACCCTGATATGGACTTGGGAAGGTACAATGGGGTCAAAGGCGAGGCCTAACTGCCGGCTGGTTACGGTCAGCTCCATAAAATTAGAAATCTAGAAGCCAGAATTCTTTATCACTTGATAGTTAAGTGTATTAAGTTTTATTCAAGTAAAGAACTGGTATTAAAATTACACTTAGTATAAGAAACTAACTAAACACGTGAAAATTTGAGTTCAGCTGTTTTCATTTTCTTGAGGATTAGTTTCAAATTCAGAGTGCACTGTCGTAGAGTAGAACCTCGTCTTTTAATCGCTTTCACATACTTTTCCAGTGTAGGATTCTTTTCTTCTTGTATAAATGAATCCAACCGATTTTCTTGCAATAGCAAATTAGTAATATTGGCAATTTTCTCAACACGTTTTTCATCAACTAATTTAACATTTGTTCCTCGGACATGGCCCATGAAAAATACATCAACTTCATCCTTTCCACTTTTTAAAAAAATTTGACGGCAGATAGTCTCCATTAGTTTTACGTCGTAACTGGTAAGAACAGATGATTTTCGGGTTTGTTTTCTAATAAGTCCTCGCGTTATGTATTTCATCAGTCTCATTTTAGGAACGGAAACGGAGCAGCTGTTGCGATACAAAAACTTATCGGATTTAGGTGCTACTTTACTATCGACTATTTCCATTAGTCCAGCTCGTAGTCGTTTAGATTTATATGTGAAAAAAGTCCTCAAATAAGCAGATCGTTCTAGTACGTAGTCTCTCACTGTGTAATTTCCCAAATCCGAAGAAAATTCCCACTGGGCTTTAGCGTAAGCAAAGACGATTATGGTTATAAAAGTAAATAAACTTAGTTCTAGAGTTATAATGTACAAGACCATGTAGAATAACGCAACCTTATAATCAAGGAATTCTGTAGACTTCATTTCGCTAGCTTTTAAACTCATAGTCAACATTAATCTTATCATTTTTACCAACGATCGAACTCTTTTAAATTCCTTTCCTACTAATAACAAAAATGCCATTCCGGCTCCCATAACAACAGTGCCGAAAATAATTAGGAAACACAGAAGGGGTAACAGTGCTACTGCCAACGTTCTTTCCATCATTCGGAACATTTTTGCAAACCTGAGAAACTTCCACAGTCTGATGGTTGCTATGCACACCAAGAAAGCTGCCGCAAAAGTAAGAAAATCTTCTATGTAGAACAAATAGAAGTAGCTCAAGAATGCGTTGTGTTTAGCTGTTTCCAATTCTTCGAGATACGCTCCCACAAAATGTATCCTCAAGGCAAAGAAAAATATGCACAAAAGGCTCAAAACGATTATTATAAAATCAATCATTAGCCAAGGGTCTTTGTAGAAATGGTGAAAGGATTTGACGATTCCTAGCGACTGTTTGAACATTAGCAGCCCAACCCAAATTATGAACAGAGTGAAAAACACCGTCGAGATGTAAGCCACTTCGTTGTTGACAAAGAGCATTCGAACCGTGTAAACCTAGAAAACCTCTTAACAAAAAACGACACTGATTAATACACTTACAATAACACGCTTTGTAACGAAACCTGTTGCACTTTGTTCGAATGTAAGTCTAATTGAGCTAAAAATGTTACAGTTGGCATTGTAGGTTAAAAATTCAATGAAAACCACTCTCGTTGCTTGGTCAATCCACAACTTGTTTAAAAGTTGCCTGAAATTAACGTAGGAGTTGTATAGGGTGCGACCCAAATAAGCAACATAGCCACCACCAGAGTAGGCCGCAATTTCGCCTAAAAACCACGACTTTTCACATTTCGATCTAAAAAATGAAACATTACCAAAAGTGGGAAAAGTTGCCGTTTGGCCTTGAGTAGCGTATTTCCAAATAGTCTTCAGTCTGTCGTAATTGATATAAGTAGAAAAATTTCCCCATCTGTAGCCGAAAGTTCTGGTTTCTGTGTGCTTTCGTGCAAATTCTGGCCAGCACGACAAGTTTAAGAACTCCAAGGGTTCTGGTACTGCGCAGAGACCGCTTTTTGTTCGCTGTTGTCTCAGTCTAGTAACTCCCATATATTTGTTGGCAACATCGAGCATCAACCCAGGTTCCGACACCACGAAGTTTCCGTACCACCTCAAGGGTTGGATTGATGTTATTAACGTTGCGTTGATGTACCCATAGATACTAAATGCATGAAACGGTAACTTATTATTATAATGTAAGTTATAAATTTACTCGTGAGCGGTTTCGATGTCGTTGAAGTCCACGGTTCTTGTATGTTTTCCCTCGATTATGTCCTCCATTAACATTTTGCCGAGTACCACCAACCTATCCTTATCAGCTAAAATTACCATGTATAAAATAATGACATATACAACAAACATGAGTAAATCTTGAAGTTCGGATATAACGAAGCGACGATGTTTAATTAAGATTGTCAATTCCTGAAACAGTAGTTGAATAAATTTGTTAGTACTATTTCGAATCAAACTTTAATTCGTCTTCTCTTTAAAGGAATATACAAGTGTTCAAAATACGGTCGCAGAAGTTGTGGTCCAAACGTTGCAAACAAGTAATCTCGTTGTGCTTCGACAGCCGCAAAAATATCTTCGAATTTTTTTTTGATTTCGTAGACCTAAAATTTTTTAGTTACGTGGAATACAAGAAGGTTACTCCTTACGATTTCACGGTTGTAGAAAAAGTTAACACCGAGAAAGAAAATGGGTTCGTAGAGAAGTACTCCGATTATGATACTAATAGCACTGGTGGTTAACCATATTAGACTTGCGTACTTTGGTACCCAGAACCCAATAATTATCAAATATGCAGTAGAAAGAGCAATTAGGGTTAGAAGTGCGCTCCTAGAGATGCATGACATGAGTACTGATTTAAGAGTTGGTAAACACTTACCAACAAGCCACAGTGTAACGGAAAGATAACTTGCGGTCTTGTTCGTACTTTGAGACTTGAATCTTAGAAAACCTAGAGTGTCGTTAGTAAATGTAACACTAGAGTGGAGTAAAGTCATTACCGAAAACACCAAGCGATGGCAATGTGCAGCAGAAACGTGGGAAACGAGCACACAAAACCTACCAAAATAGAGTACAGAGGAATTGTGTAGTAGTGATATCGCTCGAAACCATCAATCAGTTTTAGACTTGGTTGACCCAGCATTACAAGAGCTAAACTATACGTCGTTAGCATGGTCGAGAGCATAATTGTCAGTTTTTTAATATAAGACAAATTTTCTTCATTTATCCATAAGTACCAAGTGTGGTACCTTCGAAGCAGACTTAAATCAATCTTGAATCTAATAAATGGAAATTTTTTAGTAAATGACAGAGTTTTCGTAAACGGTGGTTCTTCAAGAGGTGTTTTACGTTGAGTCGGTTTGGCCACAAGGTACGTCGTACCTTTAACAATCGATATCCACTCTTCTATTTTAAAGTGCCACTGGGTGTGTTCTTGTAAGTCGTAAACTAGTATATCTTTGCAGTACCTGAATCAGAGTTTTTGGTTGTTGTTAAATGGGAAGAATACGACGTACCAATCTGGGTTTTGGCCAATACTGTCAAACCAAATTTCCAGAGATGTTAGTTTTCCCAAATGATTTTCTGTCGCCAAAACGAACATGTCGTGATTGAATTGTTGTAGTATTCTTAACTGAGGATCAGGGTAATTGAGGGCATGTGGCTATGAAAACAAACAATTAAAACAATTAATTCATTAATAGGATTTATCAACCTCGCTGAAGCTCTTGTCACCCACGAGTTTGATCATGATATTGGATGAAGTACCCGCATTGTAACCTTCACCGGTTCTAATCATCACCAAGTAGGCAAATCGATGGCTGGCATCGTTATCTCCTACAAAGTAAACTTGCTCCTAAAATCATCAATATCCGTTATTGGTTTTTCAAATAGTGCGAAAATACCTTTTTCTGAAGTAACGACAACGTCAGCAGCAACAAGAAAATCAATAAAGTGAGTGCCAGAGTTGAGAAAATCACTAAAGAGTACCAGAGTTTCAATTCCAAATCTGGCTTAAAAACGCGCTGGGGAATATATTGTATATTTTGTATGTGACCAGCAATGACCGAGAAATGATTGCAGATGCAATAGAGAGCAGTTTGATTGCTTTCATTTCCAGGCTGTCCAAATAAACAACCTCGTTTACTATCTGTTGTGTAGTTTTTTTTTTGTATTACCTTACACGTGGGTATCCATTTGCTGTCTAGTGTTATAAATTCAATGCAACATGTAACAAGTGTACTAATTCCATATGTCAAGGTTGTTTTTTCAGCAGCTGCCTCTTTTTTAACCAAGATTCCAATATAGGCAAGAATGTCATAATCATAGTCGTTTGCCAGTCGTAGAGAAGTGTCAGTTTCAAATGTTACATCGTTGTTAACAAAATCTTCCACAGTAGGGAATTTGTTTTCTAAAAGAACAACCTGAAAGAAGTTTATTCTTCAGTGTATTTTATCATAAAAAAGTCGTTTACGTTAAAGACGTTACTAGTATTGGAACCACGAAAGTTTACGTGCAACGTTCGTTTTGTTGGTAATGCTATTCGATAAACGTTGATTTGATAATTCAGTTCATCGTCAGTCATTGTGGCATAACCTTCTGCAACATTGACAAAATATTCTCTCATTCTTGGAACAAATCCGCTCTTGTTCTTCATAGCGAAATAAATGCCCACTGGATTCTTAAAACTGTCTATGCGCTTCACGCACGTTGAATGCCAGAATTCTAGATTAATAATATTTGTGTACACTTTTACAAAGCCAGGATTCCACCACAGAATGTCATTATTCCAAGTCGTCATCTTAAATTTTATTATGTACGAGTGTTAATGTACGATTTAACTTACGAGAAAGTCGTACGAATGTTCGTCGTTTACGAAATCGCTCGAAACAGTCACTATTACTCCTGTTGCTCGTACAGGGCTTCTTGTAAGTTCCGAGCCGGTGTCTTTGAAAACGACAGTTTCGCTTTGGTTGCCGAAAGCTCGGACCAACCCTTCACCGGTTGCTGTGGCCATTGCTATCACTTTTGCAGATGTAGCGCTTCCATTTACTATGTTGAACGAAGCTTCTTTCAGCTAGGTAAAGTTGTGTTAGTGGTGAAAAAAAGTGAGAAACTAACATACGTATTCCAAATTTTTGTAGTAGCTTTCGTCGTGGTCAACGTAATCTGGGTAGTCTTCTGTAATTACTGGCACGTCAAAAATTGGTGTTTCTGTAGAAACGTTTAGCTCAATGGGCTTGATTATCTTGTAATTTGGATTCGTGGTAGTTTCAAAGCACTTAGCTACGGTTCTAATAAAGGAACAGTTAACTGCAGACTAAAATTAAATGAGGATAGTATTACGAGGAAAACTTTTTCATTCTGTCTCCTAGTTTGTATGGAAATTCCTGACCCCTCAGTGTCTCTAAAGCCCTGTCTGCCATCTTTTTACAAACTGTTGAGGTAAATTTGGATAGAAGTGGATCAGACTCTGCAGGTATGTGTTGCTGTTGGAGTTTGGTCAAAGACTGACTTATTTTAATCACTTCCTCTAAAGATTTAAGAGGTGCCTACATATTTACCATTATTTAAATTTTAAATCAGTTTGAATAAATAACCTTCAACATGTCTTCTGAAGCTGTGTACTTGAGAGTTTCGAGAAAATCTTTCAGTTGTTGATCTTCTATCTTACTAACCACAAGTTCATCTACTATGCTTTGAAAAACTTCAATCGCTTTGCTCCTGTCTTCCGGATTGTTACTGCTAACTAGATTAATTATAGATTGATTAGTCCCATTGCCGTTGTAAATGTCGTCCAAAATTTGGACCACTTCTTTAGATGGTTTGTCGCTAAGAGCAGATTCTACACGACCTTCTACTCTTACTTCTTTAGCTGGATAACTTTCCTTCGAAATTTTCGTGGCTTTCGCAATAAAAATTTTTCCCTCAGAAGGGGGTAACTTGAACTGTCTTTTAAAAACGTCTGGATGAAAGCCACTAACAATCGTCTGTTCGATTGAAATATCTACAAAAGTCGTTCGAGTATAGGTTCGTTAAAAAATTAATGAATACCAGTAGCGTCTCTAACAAGAAATTCATAAAAATTTGGTTGGTTTGGTGGGGTTTGTGTACACGAAAACTTATAATAAGTTTCCAGAGATTTTCCTTCTGGTGGGTCGAGCTTACAGTTGCTAACTTTAGCTGGACGATGGTACGACATTTTAAGCGCTGCATAACCACGCCCTTGAGTAGTCTTTGCTTCTACTTCCACGATGTACCAAGCTGCTTTCTCTAATGTGTTTTTCTCAATCAAGAATTTGGTGCCGCTTTTACCATAACGCGAGTTTGAATAATCAAACTTGTAAGACGAGTCGTTGAGAACTTTGACAGACCACATGTAGTCATCATCTTGTAACCCTTCACAGTTCGTAACGCAAGAAGCGCCAAACAATGTTATTAATTCGTAGTTGGCGTAATCAGTCCACGACAGACAGTTCTTTCTACAACTGAATTATACGTTAAAGAAGAACGGTTATAGTGAAGAAAAACGTTACATCATTTCCAAAGCTGGAGCGTTAGCTACTACAATAACTGTCTGAGTTTCATTTTTGTTGATATCCTCGTCTAAGTACTTTAACTTGACTTGTAACTTTATGGTAAAAGTGTCACCATCCTTGACGTGTCGAGCTGGAATAGTAAACCCAGAGGCGGTGGAAATGGGATCTTTTTTGCAAAAAGTTGGAGGTGTCTGGGTTTGATTACATGACCACGTGAAATTTAAAGTGCTAGAAGTTCCATTGTTAAAATTTGAATCGAAGGAACCTTCTCCATCAACAACAATATCAAGGTTAGCCGGCACCACCCTTCTAAATCCTCCTGATATTACTGCAAACGGAAAAAAGGTCAATATTAGAACTCGACAGGTTTTAGATCCTTTTTCTAAAGCATTCGCAGGTCCTGTTTTTACAGAACTTTTACGTTTAGAGTGCACTGTCACATTGTATGCGTTTGGCACAAAAGTATTTGGAGGTATCACAAGTTTCTGTATATTATCCAACGTTTGTTGCAGTAAATTTGTAACTGGTATATTTGACACAGATCCCTTTGCTCCGTCTTAAATAAACAAATAAATAAAAAATTGGGTACTACCTAGAAACACATACGTGCATGGTGTGAAATCGCATACGTAAAGTCATAGTTGCGCAGCAATTCTTTGTCGTCACCATCCCATTCTGGACCTATTTCTACTCTCTCAGCAGGGGTATAAGTCATTGTATCATCTCCACTGAAATTAACAATTTACTATTTTAATTCTCCACTTGTTGTATATTTACCAGTTTGATATTGTCACATAATCTTTAGCATAAACACCTACAATCACATGACATAAAGTAGGAATAAAAAAGCTTTTAAACTTACCACTTATGGTTAGTAATGAGACAACGATAATTAGATCGTGTTCTAAAAACAAGAATAAACATTAATTTGCAAACTTATCTTCTTTTTACTCACTTGATAACATTTTTGTTCTCATCGAGTTGTAAACATCAGTCACAAATTTTATTAAAATTGAGATGCAAGCCTGCTTGTTATTATTGTATAAATACATTTTTTTTTAATACTTTTAAAATAAATTTCAAGGGCTTCTACAAAAAACGAGAAAAATGTGAACAGAAAAATAATAGTGATATGAATACTTAATGACGACCTATTATTATAGTATTCCACTAGCAGAGCCTTGTGATAGTGAAGACAAGCTCCGGATCATAGGAAAACCTTTTTTCTACCGCGCACGTTTTTTGGTTTTCTAATGGAGCTATTAAAGCACGCAAATGACCTCACAGCAGTTCGTGAATAGCGGAAAGGCGTTTTTTCATAGATCTGGTGTAATTTAGATCGGTAAGATTGGTAATCATGACTAAAAATGTCAGGTCAATGTCAGTGGCAAATGTAAAATTAAAATTTCCCGTATTTCCGGAGGCGTAAGGACTTCAGTGACCTCTTCACAAGACATTTTAACCAATTTAAATTCGAATCTCAAATATTTCGTGGTTAGTGTCAGACCAACCCATCACCAACCACGACAAAATTCCCCAGAGATCAATTTTTAACCTTTCTTTCTGTACACACTTTAACAAATTTAGTTGTGCTTCTTGCATTTCTCCAAAATTCTAACGTAGGATCTTTTCTTTTACTGCTGAGATTTTTGGCATTGTGACAAAATCTTCTGACCTAACCAAACAATTTGACTATCTGCTAGAATTTAGAAAATTTTCTGTAAGCCCAAGAAACGTCAATTTTGTTTGGTGCCAACATTGTTATGACAGTTTTCTTTCTCTTTTCCATAACTTTGTCTTCGTCAGTTTCGTAATTCTGTTGTGGCCAAAATTGTCTCTCTTTTTTAACCAATTCGGACCCTCTCACCAACAACAATTTAACAAGCGTGGTGCTATGCAACCTCAGGATGGTAAATCGGCTGGATCTATTGTACCAGGTACAAAGTACCAGTCGGCAGCGTTGGTCAGCTTCTGAATTTCTTCTATCCGATTCCAAACAAATGGTTTCCAGTTTTCAGTCAACTTAATCCAAGAAAGAACGGTTGTAGAATCAGTCCAAAAATATGTAGGAATATCTTGATCATTAAAAAACGTGCGATTAGTGTGGGTGTACAGTGCAAATTGCTCCGCTGATTTTCAGTTATTTTGCTTGATCTTCTTGTCTCTCTTTTTTAACCAATTCGGACCCTCTCACCAACAACAATTTAACAAGCGTGGTGCTATGCAACCTCAGGATGGTAAATCGGCTGGATCTATTGTACCAGGTACAAAGTACCAGTCGGCAGCGTTGGTCAGCTTCTGAATTTCTTCTATCCGATTCCAAACAAATGGTTTCCAGTTTTCAGTCAACTTAATCCAAGAAAGAACGGTTGTAGAATCAGTCCAAAAATATGTAGGAATATCTTGATCATTAAAAAACGTGCGATTAGTGTGGGTGTACAGTGCAAATTGCTCCGCTGATTTTCAGTTATTTTGCTTGATCTTCTGTGCTTTATTTTGACGTGAGTTATACGGATTTGTAGCTTTTTCTGAGTTACATTATTGGTCTATTTTTTTTGACCCTTATCTGTCACCGTGGTTGAAGTATTGTTTTACTAAACTTCAATCAACGTTAACCTTTTATCCAGCCACGCACCTTATCGCGTTTTTTGTGAATCGGTATTCTTTTTATCAGCAGCATATTTTTCGGTGTTTAACCTTTGTTTATTCATTTTTACCTACCCGTGACCCTCTTGTTTGTCAAAGTAAGCCACCTTGAAAGGTCCCTAGGTGCAAAGTGTCCCAGTGTGTTCCTAACATAGATTTCCATAATGATCTGCCCGAATTGTGACAACTCCGTTAAAACTAATGAAACTAGCTTCCAATGTGATGCCTGTCAGAAACATTTACACGCTAAATGCATAGGATTATCTGAAAACGATGTGAAAATGACCAGGTCTAAGTCAAAATCTATCAAGCTTATATGTAATTCTTGCGAAAAAAATTTAAATGCGCTCAGCGATTTAAAATCTCTCATTTCTAACATCCGTGCTGAATTTACCTCTTCACTTGACGATCTGAAAACCACCTTCCAGCAACAAATAAACGATTTAAAATCGATGATAAATAATCACCACCAACCTAATCCTGCTCAGCCCAATTTTGAAGACGTGGTACAAGAGGTTGTAGAGAGACAAAAACGAAGTAAAAACGTCATGATTTACAATGTTCCCGAGCAGCCTGAAACAATGTCTCGTGATGAGCGTTTAATGTCTGAGACGACTGACATCTCTAACATCTTGCAAGTAGCTAGTAATGATGTAAATATCGCTAATATTCGTTTACAGAGGTTAGGTAAATTTATTCCTGGTCGCTGTCGCCCAATTAAGGTCTTCCTTCAGTCTGAAGTGGAGGTATTAAACATAGTTAGAGGCGCTAAAAATCTCAGCACTAGAGATATTTATAAAAACGTTCGGTTGTCTTTCGATAAAACACCTAAACAACTCGGAAACTTGAAACTACTAAAATCTCAAATGCTGGAAAGAATCAACAATGGTGAAACGGGACTGAAGATTCGGCATTTCAATGGTGTTCCTCGCATAATTCGTCATTTAAACTAAATACTGCACCTGATTATGATTCCAATACTCATTTTTTTTACCAGAATGTACGTGGCCTGCGTTCAAAAGTTCCTACTTTGTATAATAATATTTGTTCTTCTTCTTTTGAATTTATCGCACTATCGGAAACCTGGCTTTCTGAAGATATATTGAATAGCGAATTATTTCCAGATAATTATTTAGTGTATAGAAAAGATAGAAATTTTGCTGCAACTAATGTCACAAAAGGAGGTGGAGTTCTTATTGCAGTTCTTAATACATTTGTTTGTTCCGAGATTGATTTATCGCATATCACGTCAACTTTACCAATAATAGACATACTTGGACTAAAAATTAAATCTTCATGTGGACTCTCTCTATATGTCTTCGTTGTCTATGTTCCTCCTTCAATTAACCTCAATGATTATGAGCTCTTTTTGAATTTATTCAGTGCTGTTGAAGAATCTCATATGGATAATGTTGTTGTTCTTGGTGACTTTAACGTACCAGATTTTTCAGCCAATTTAGATAATAGAGCCACAATTTTGCTCAAAAATTTTGCGAATTTTCATAATTTTTCTCAGTACAATAATATCTATAACAAATTCAATCGCTTTTTAGATCTGCTATTCTCTAATCTTCATTGCTCTGTAAAACAGTCGGATCTTCCCCTTGTACCAGAAGATGACTACCATCCTGCATTAAATATTTCATTTCACTTTATAATAAAATCTTCTGGTCATTTTCTTATGAATCCAGATTCAAGCTGTTTTAATTTTCGTAAAGCTAACTTCAAATTATTATACGATTTACTTCTTTCTACTGACTGGTCTTTTTTGGAAAACATAACTAACGTTAATACGGCATGTTTTGAATTTTATCAAGTTTTAAACAAAATCTTTGAGGTATCTGTCCCTAAGTTTAATTTCAAAAAGGAAGGTCATCGATATCCCCCGTGGTTTGACTCAGAGGTTATCAAAATGCTACGTTTGAAAACGCTTTTTCATAATAAATTTAGACAATACAAAAGCCAGTATTTTTATGATGCTTTTAAATACCACAGATCTAAATGCAAGTCCTTGATTCAATCCAACTATCTCAGATACTTAAACGAAGTTCAGTCGTCACTCACGTCCAACCCTAAGAGGTTTTGGTCCTATGTTCAGACTAAAAAAGGAAAGTCCAGAATTCCAGCAATCATGAAATTTTCTGATCAAGAACTTCAGACACCACCTGAAATTGTTAATGCTTTTGCTTCTTTCTTTAAAAGCGTATACGTTATTTCTGACTCTTCTTACTCTTGTGTTTTAAACCAAAGTGATTTGAGCAACTCTATAATACAAATTGAGAACATAACAGAAGATGAAATACTTGAAGTGTTAAAACGATCCAAAGATTCTCTAATCGCAGGTGTAGATAACATTCCCAGCTTTATCGTAAAAGACTGTGCATCGATCTTTGTAAAACCTCTCCATTCTCTGTTTAATCTTATTATTAAGACTTCGTATTTTCCTGACATCTGGAAAGAAGCGACAGTTACTCCAGTATTTAAAAAAGGCGATCCGTCTATGATTGAAAATTACCGACCAATATGTGTTCTCTGCAACTTTTCAAAAATTTTTGAATCTGTTATTTATAAACGTTTGTATTTTTCGGTTAAAAGTTTAATCTCGCCCTTCCAGCATGGTTTTGTGGAGAAAAGATCTACGGTTACGAATCTGTCTTGTTTTACTCAGTATGTTTCAGAGGCTATTGATCAAAATAACCAAGTAGATGTTATCTACACAGATTTTCGTAAAGCCTTTGATCAGATTGATCATTATGTACTACTTCGTAAACTAAATCATTTCGGATTTTCGGATTCTCTACTCCTGTTGCTTGAATCATACTTACTTAATAGAAAGCTTTCAGCTAAATACCGTAATTTTGTTTCCGAGGCATTTTGTCCTACGTCGGGTGTCCCGCAAGGGTCCAATCTTGGTCCCTTGCTTTTTTTACTATTCGTCAATGATGTCGTAAACTCTTTGACTTGTCAAAAGCTACTATACGCCGATGATCTCAAAGTTTTCTTATCTATTAGTACCCTTCGAGATTGTGAAATCTTGCAGCACAATTTGGATCAGTTAACTTCGTGGACCATAAAAAACCGGTTATTCTTAAACAAAGACAAGTGTTTTATTATTACTTATTCCAGAAAACTAACCAATATAGTTTATGAATACTCTATTGAAGAATTTAATTTGGTTAGACTGGATACGTATAAGGACTTAGGCGTTGTCTTTGACAGTAAATTCTTCTTCAAAAATCATATTGTGGAGTGTACGACTAGAGCGTATAATATGTTTGGGTTTATTTATAGAAACTGTTCTGAGTTCTCGAACGTTCAATCGTTGCTTACGTTGTATTACTCATTTATACGTTCTAGACTTGAGTATGCCGCTGTTATCTGGTTTCCTATATATTCTACTTACATTCAATTACTGGAGTCAGTTCAACGCAAGTTTCTCAAATTTGTAGTATTTTTAGTTGATGGGATTTACCCTCCTCGCGGATATAATCATGGCGTTTTACTAAGCAGATTTAACTGCAATTTACTTAGTACTAGACGGGTAATTTCAAGTGTAAAACTTCTCCACAGCTTAATTAGTAATATAACTGACTGTACTTATCTGTTCAATAAAATTGTATTCTTAGTTCCTCGGTTAAATGCTCGAAGTTGCCGTACGTTCTATTATAGTACTAGCAGAACAAATGTTATGACTAGATCACCACTTGTTATAATGTGTAGTAATTTTAACTTAATTAGTGATTTATGTGACATTAATAATGATCCTTTTAATTACATATCTAACGCTTTAATTTCTTATTTAGAGAATTAGGGAGTATTGCTTGATTTATATTCTGACCTTTTATTATAAATTCAGCATTGTATTTTCTTTTTTTCCTTATTCTTAGTGCTACAGTTTGTACCATTATGCCTACATTGTTTTTCTGTTTTTGTTTCCTGTAATTGGGTGCTTACCCGTTGGAAATAAACATTATTATTATTATTATTATTATTATTGACAGTTGAATGCTTTTTTTACAGCAGCAAAATCTGACAGGAATTGCAGCAGCTAAAAGATCTACTAATCTTGGGACTGAAATCATTTTAGTAAGTGACACTCGCGATTTGGCTTGTACAATTTGAACAGATATATTTGTATCTGTTTCACATCTGACAAAAACGACGGCTGTATAAGCATCTTTATTTGTATCATTGTTTAAGTATATTATATAATTATGTTTGCTTGATTGAAAAATTGCGTGTAATAATTCTGATCTAATAAATGAAGTAGAAAAGTGGCAATCCAGCTCAAAGCAAATGCCAATCAGACTACTGACAGACAAAAAACTAAATCATCAAATCAGTTTATCTAACTTTAAGAAAAAATATCAAAAGATATATAAATATCGTAAATGGATAATATTAGTTTTACTTATGTTTATAATATACTTGATTTCCGAGTCTTACACACACAATTTTAAATTTTCAAAAAACTTCAAACATTTGACGTTAAAATTAAAACTCAACTCACTGCCCTTTTTGATTTTTATTTATACAACAACTATGACAACAAAAGAACATCAACAGATTCAGAAATACCATACGTATTTAGTATACGACAAGAACTTATTTAACCACAGATAAAATTTTACTTAAATTTTGATAACTCCAAGTCAAAAGTGTTCATTTTATGTATCATCAGTTTCAAAGTTAAGCTACAGTTTTTGAGTGTCTTCTGCTTTTTTCTGATCATTTGAACGTATTTGTCCAAAACGACTCCCTTTTCGGCCACAGTCTCATGTTTTTGAGTCTCCAGCAGCATATTTGTCACTTCTGCAATTTTTGTAACTCTCCTCTCATCAACCAACGCAATCCTCTTCCCTTTGATTTTTCCTTTAAAAAATACTTCTACTTCTACATTGTGAGTCTTTTCCAATAACAGCTGCGCAATTCTCAGCATCAACCTTACATCATTGTCACTAAGATGCTTCGACTTTGAAACTGGTTGCAACATGTTTCTTATGCAACACTGTGTCATACATTTCATTGTTAGCATTTTACGCGTCTCGACTAAAAAGCTGTTTGAGTAAACAAACTTGTCAGCTTTCGGTTCAATTTTCGGTTTTTTCGTTTGACCAGCTTTCAGCCTGGCGTACTTATACTTGAGAAACTTAGGGATGTATTTGATTCGTTCTAGAATGTAATGTTTGATGTTGTACTCTGCTCTGTGAGTCGAAAATTCCATTTGAGCTTCAGAATAAGCCATTAGGATGAGCATTATATAAATTAAGAAAACTACTTTAACTAAAATTCCGTAAGTTGTGAAATAGAAAGTTGCGCTTACTAAATGTACGTATTTTGATAATTCAAGTTCACTAGACTTTAGAGCCATGGTTACCAAAAGCCTCAGCAACCTCACAACGGTATTAATCTCTTTGAAATAATTTCCATATAAAATAACGATGGTGGTTGCATATGCTACCGCGAGAACACCATAAGCGACAGTAAATGTCAGGAGTGGTTCCGCAGAAATAGCTAAAGTTCTTTCTAAAACCCGAAACATCAACCCAAACCTGAGAAACTTCCAAAGACGGACTGTGGCAAGACAAACCAAAACAGAAGCAAAAATCTTCAGAAATTCTTCCAAGTAGAAAAGATAAAAGTAGTTTAAGAATTCGTTATGTTTGACATGTTCTAACGTTGACAGGTATTGACCAATCAAATTGATCCTAAGAATGAACAAACCGATACAAACCAGACTCATTAGTATGATGATCAAATCAATGATAAACCAAATATCCTTGTAGAAAGTTCTAATTCTTTTAATGGCACCTAGAGAATGCTTGAAAAAGAGCATCGTCACCCATACTACGAAAAGAACAAAGCAGATCTTAGTTATGTGTTCTGCTTCGTTTTGCACGAAAAGCATCCTCACAGCGAATACCTGAAAAACGATTTGTAGCAACTTGAGTACTAAAACTTTACCTACGTTAATGCTTTGGAACACCGATCCTGTTGCACTTTGTTCAAACAACAACCTGATCGAATTAAAAACGTTATAGTTAGCATTGTATGTCAAAATTTCGATAAAAATGCTTCTGGTTCTGTTATCAATCCAAATTTTTTGGAGAAATTTTCGAAAATTTGCGTACGAGTTGTAAAGAGTGCGACCAAGGTAGCTGACGTAACCACCTCCCGAATACGTAGCAAATTCTCCTTTGAAAAAAACGATTTTTATGATATTTGGGTAAAAATTACGAAATTCATACCGATGTATCCAAAAGTACCAGTTTTATACTCAGGGTCGTACTTCCAAATGTCTTTCAATCTATCAAACTCTAAGTAGAATGAATATTTCCCCCAGGCATATCCAAACGGTTTGGTGTCACCATAATGCAACGCCAGCTCAGGCTCGCAAGAAGTATTCAAAAATTCCATCTGTTTTGGCATTTTGCATACATTAGCTTTTATTCTTTGTTGACGAATTCTGGCCACTCCAATGTATTTGTTGGTCATGTCAATCATCAGTGCGGGTTCTGACACGACGAAATTCCCGTACCACCTCACCGGATGCGTTGAAGGGATGAAAGTGGTGTTGATAAAGTTATAAACTCTGAAAAAAACTACTAAGCGTTTCGTTCGATTTATCAAATTATAGCTACTCTTGTATGGTCTGCATCTCATCAAACGCGAAATTTCGTACGAGTTTGCCTTGCATCATTTCTTCCATCACAAGTTTGCTGCGTATTAAAAGACCGCCTTTGTTTACGAGTACTACCGCGTACAAAATAAAGACGTAGATACCAAACATGATCAAATCTTCAAATTCAGAGATAACGTCGCGACGGCGTCTTACCTCAGTCTGTTTTTCCTTAAAACATAAAAATAGTAATACGTTCCGTTTGCAAGCAGTACTCACTTTAACTTCAGTTTTTTTTAATGGATTGTATAAGTGTTCGAAATAAGGACGCAAGAGACCTTCGCCAAATTGTTGATAAAGGTACCGTCGTTGTTCTTCTGTTGATACCAACAAATTCGTAAATCGTCGCTTAATGTTGTACGCCTATGATGCTTGTATTTAATAAAAAATATCAAGTTGGGTGATAGTCTCTTACGAGCTCCACTTTGCACAAGAGGGTTGCAATTACGGCGAAGATATTCTCATAGACAAGAATTTGTAAAATCGTACCCATCAGACACGTTGTCAACCAGATTAAACTCTGGTAAAATGGTACCCAAAATCCACTAATTATCAAAAGTGAACTTGAACTGATTATTAAAAGTACCAAAACCAACCTGGAAGGGTTGTTACAGTTGTTTTAATTTTGGATGAATTTCTTACCAACATGTCTGAGTCACGTTAAAAGACCATTTTTCTTCGTCATTATAGCTAGAGTACTGCAATTTTGATAATCTACAAAATAAATTTTAAACAACATCTACACATAGAAAGTGGTACCTGAAACACCAAGCTATCGCAGTGTGAATGATAAACCCCAAAAGAGAGCTAATAAAAGCGATCAAAACTGTGACTTCGTCCAGTTTATATGTATTATTATCAAAACCATCTAGTAACTGGAATGTAGGAACGCCAGAAAAGAGAAGTACTAGTGCATATGTAGTTAGTAAACAGGACAAAATCACTGTTAGTTTCTTAACGTAAGAAAAATTTTCTTCATCCTGCCATAAGTACCAAGTGTGGTACAAATTCCGAAATCGTATCTTCCTGAATAACGTTTTCTTCCCTTTTACTTCCGTTTTTGTCGGCTTTAACGAAATGTGAGTTTTACCTCTGACCACCGTTAAACGCTTCTTTACGACAAAGTACCACTCGACGTGCTCTTGCATATCGTACACTAAAATATCTCTACAGTACCTGTAAAGAGTTTAATGAAACAACCAAACGTTGTCTCGATTGTGGTAGTACCAGTCTGGATTGGCACCCACTGAGTCAAACCACAACTCGATCTCTGTTATCTCTCCTAAATGGTTTTCCGTCGTCAAAATAAAAAGGTCGTTTCCGAATTTTTGTAATATGCGTAACTGTGGGTCAGGGAAGTTCAAAACGTGCGGCTAGAAATAATTATTTTACCAAAAGCGCACTCTGCAAAAGTACCAACAGTGCTAGAATCGTTGCTTCCAATAAGTCTGATGATCACATTTGAAGTCGTAGAAGTGTACCGTCCGAATCCGGTTTTAACGACAACAACGTACGCAAATTGATCAGTACTGACGTTGTCTCCTAAGAAATAAACCTCGCTCTGGACAAATTTAAATCAAGTTTAAAATTAAAAGGGCCACCAAAGCAGCTACGAACTTACTCTTCTTTTCAGTATGACGATAAGTAGAATAGAGTACAATGCCAACATTACTGCTACTGTTATGATTATTACGTAGTTAGATTGTAGTTCTAATTCTAGTTCTAGGGTAGCAACTTCTTGAAGGAGAGACCGCATGTTTTGTACATAACCAGCGATTACCGAAAACGTGTTACATTCACAGTGGATGGTACTCACGTTGCCTTTATCACCTATCTAACTAAATTTCGTTTAGGGAAAATTCTACCAAAATAAAGTACCTTGCACGTGGGTGTCCACGAATGGTTCAATTCCACCCATCGAACACAGAGAGAAACCACAAAACTGATATCGTACGTTATCGACTGCAACGAGTTGTTTGTTTGAATTTCTCGGTTTGCCAAAACTCCAACGTAACACCAAATGTCGTAGTCATTTTCGTTAACTAAAGTAAATCCTACGGTAACATTTTTAGATGTTGTTTTATTGTCAAAGTCTTCGATAGCTGGAAACTTGAATTGTGTGACCACGATCTGTAAAAGTTGTGTTTAAAGAGAAACATGTTTTGTTGAATGTCTCACATCTAAAATAGCTGAGTCTTCAATATTAGAAAAGTCTATACTGATAAGCTTTCCAGCTGGAAAATCCATGCGTCGGACTTTAATAACCTTATTTAAGTCGTCATTGGAGAGACTTGTGTATGCTTCTGGTACGACAAACGTGTCTCGAATGAGACTTATATTCAATCCTTTATCCTTGTTGACAGTGAAGAACAATCCAACCGAATTCTTGAAAGTCGTTACCTTCTCCTTACACGTCGAATGCCAAAATTCAATATGAGCAATATCAGTAGCAATTTTCGTATATTTCGGATTCCACCACATGATGTCTTTGCTCCAAGTCGACAACTACACCAATTAATTACACAGTTTTTAAAAATTAGTACCTTTTACCAAAATGTCGTACGGATGTTCATCGTCGACGAAATCTCGTGATGGTATTAGAACCACCCCTTGAGAACGTACTCTACTTTTGGCTAAAAGCCTCCCGGTGTCTTTTGCCACAATCGTACCACTTTTGTTGCCAAACGTTTCGACAAACTGTTCGCCAACAGCAGTTGTCATTGCTATGACTTTGGCGGAAAGACTAGTGGCATTGATGATGTTGTAGGTTGACTCTTTTAACTGGAGAAAGTTCAAAACAAGGTATTTGTGGCATTTAACACTTACATACTCCAGATTTTGATAATATTCGTCACTGAAATCGGCGTAGTCGGGGTAATTTTCGGTGACAATTGGCTCATTGAAAATTGGTACCGGTGTGGTGACGTTGTGGTCTATCGGTTTAACGACGTAGTAGTTGGGATTGGTGTTAGTTTCTAGACAACTTTCCAAAGAACTACAGAATTAATTAACATATAGTTTGCTGAAGATGTTGATGATGTACCTCGACACACGATTCGTCTTTTCTCCTAGATTCAATGGATATTTTTCCTTTCTTACAAGCTCCACGTGCTTGTTCATCATCTTCTTACAAATGGTCGTGGTGAATTTACCCAGTAAGGGATCAGATGGAGACAAGTCGTTGTGATTTAGCAGTTTGGCAATCGATTCGCTCATTTGTACCACTTCGTTAATTGTGTCAACAGGTGCCTTGAATCGTCATTAAACAAAAATGCGTTCGGTTTTTACTTACATGCAACATGTCCTCGACTACCCTAAATTTCAAATCTTGGACAAAATCTTTCAGTTCTTCGTCTTCGTCTTTGAATTTCTTTTTCACAACTTCGTTAACCACCGCTTTAAATTTTTGAAGCGCCTTGGATCTTGTATCGGCATTATCACTGCCAATTACTTGAGTAACCGAATTGGGATTGGAAGGATCACCGTAAAATTTCTTTGCCGAATCTATGAAGCCATGAGTGGACTGATTACTAATCGTTGATTCTACCGTTGCAGAGATTGGTACTTCTGTCCAAGTACCTTGTTCAGTTATCACTTTTACAAAAAAAATATTCTGGTCTGAGTTAGGTAACAAAAAATGTTGCTGGAAAATAGAGGGAACGACGCCAAAAGCGTTAAGATCGGTTTTGGAATGGTCTGAAATGTATGATTAGTAGTTAGTCAACGAAAATGTACCGTCACCTTTCTTGTCTCTGCTATAGATTTCGTATATATTTAGAGAAGTTGCATTTTCTGGACCACACAGAAGAGTAAACCGTGTCGCCACGGTACCTTGATTTGGAGTAACTCTGCACGTGGTCACTTTTGGAGGTGCTGGAAATCTGAGGTTCATTACGGCACGACCTTTCAGTGGTACCGTATCTCTCAACCGAACTTCAAATAAATACTCTTCTGGTACCAATACATCTTTCAAAATTATAAATTTGTTGGTATTCTGTCCAAACTGTGTATTCTTTTTGTAGTCAAATTTAAAATCCGGGTCATTTTTTGACGTAACAGTCCATTCGTAGTCTTCATCTTTCAAGGTTTCACACCTTTGTGAACAAGATACCGCTAAATACGTTGGAGAAGTAGGAATAGCAGCTTCACTCACTGGAGGACAATTTCTTCTACAAACGATTTCTAACTGTGCTGCGTTGTTTACAACCTCAATGGTTTGAGTAGTACTAGCGGAGTTAACATAACTACCCTTGTTATGTTTGTGTGTTGTAACTTTCAAAGTTATTTCAAATTTGTCACCCGCTTCTACATACTTTCGTGGAATGGAAAATTTCATCTCGGTAGACACAGGGGTTTTGTCACAGAAATTAGATTTACTTTGTTTACAGATCCAGTAGTACTGGAAACCTTGGTTTCTGGTAGTTGCTAAATTCACATCAACGGACTCTTCACCGCTTAAAACAATTTCAGTATGACTCGGTACCATTTTGTAACTTCCGCCTGAAATTATCACTATAGGTTTCTTAGCTTCGTAAAACAGATGGCAGAGATGATAGGCGGCATTAAATTTTGGTAAACCCTAATATTTAAAATCGTATAGTTGAATTAGTTTGTAATTGATACATACTGGTGCTTTAGGCTTGACTTCTGGATGGATGTGGTAATGACCAGGTAAGAGTCCATATGGGGGTATAGAAAGGAAAGTGTTACCTCTGGATAACCACTGCGTAACTTTGATAGTCAGATTTACACCGTCAACCTGGTACATTTTATAAGAAACATCATAATTGTCAGGGACCCAGGTATCCTTGGCGTGCAAATACTGTTTAGTGGATCGTGCAAACAATATAAAGCCTTGTTTGGGGGCCAAATTTAAATTTTTAGCGTCATCTTCAGCGCCACTAAAGGTGAGGTGAAGTACGATTATAAACTATTTTTGCGAAATCTTACCAGTTTCCGATTTCTATACGTTCGTCAGCTGCTTCTATGTTTAGTACTGAAAGTAGTACTATACTAGAGATTAAAACAAGTTTAATGTATGTATGGGTCATCTTGAAAATATTTTGACAGTGAAAACTGCCTACTAAATTTTTTGTAGTACCGTGTGGGAAGATCTGCATTTTCTTATTCTATAAGGACAATCATACAATTTAACGCAAACGTTATATTTATAGTTTTATTTACATATATCCATTTTAAACTTAACGGCATTATGAAAGTTTTGAGAGATTTAATTCTGCAGCTGTCATTTGATGAAGAGTCATTTTTAAAATCCACTCACATCTTCGTAGACTATTCTGCTTTTTCTTAATCGCCTGAATGTACTTCAAAAGTATCAAATTCTTTTTCTTTTCCACAGAAGACAATATTAATTCTTCTTGTAACAACAAATTGACAATATTTGCCATTTTTTCAATGTTTTTCATATCAACTAGCTGAATTTTTTTTCCACGTATCTTCCCTCTAAAAAATATCTCCCGACTGGTTCCTGTATCTTTTAGAAAAAACAAGCGACTAATTGAAGTCATCATTTTAAGATCACGCTCAGAGAGAACCGATTTCTTCCTATCCTGTTGTCTTAAAGTACACTGTGTTAAATTTTCCATGATGTGCATTCTAGGAGAGGAAACCGAATAACTGTTGAAATGTAGAAATTTGTATGATTTAGGTACTACTTTTATGTTTTTCCTTAAACCGCCTTTTAGACGCTTCGTTTTATATTTACAAAACTTAAGTAGATACTTCGCACGTTCTACTATGTAGTCTGTGATATTGTAGATATCCACTTCTGCGGAGAATTCCAACTGGGCTTGAGTATAAGCTCCCACTATAATCATAATAAAAGTAAACAAACTTATCAGTATAGCTATCATATATGTTAACATGTACAATGTTGCGATTTTATATCCAATGTACTCGTAAAGATTCATTTCTGTGGGTTTTAAAGCCATAGTCAACATCAGTCTTAACGTTTTCACCACGGAATGGACTCTATGAAAGTCATTTCCTAGCAGCAACAAAAGGGTAAGTGAAAATCCTGTCATCATAATCAGAAAGGCGAAAAAGAAAGTGAAAAAGGAAGAAGCTGCTATAGATAGAGTACGTTCCATAATGCGAAACATTTTTGCAAATCGTAGAAACTTCCACAATCGGGCAGTTGCAATGCACACCAAAAAAGCTGCCACAAGGGTCATAAAATCCTCAATGTAGAAAAGATAAAAGTAACTCAGGAATTCATTATTCCGTGCAGTTTCCATCTTTTTGAGGTACTCTCCGATGAACTTCAATCTTAGCGAGTAAAGTACTATGCACATAACGCTCGTAACAAGAATAACGAGGTCAATCATTACCCAAACATCTTTGTAAAACGTCCGCAGGTTTTTGATTACTCCTAGAGAGTATTTGAGGAAAAGCAGGAGTACCCAGATTACGAACAGGTTGAAGAAGACTACACTGATCATTTCTACTTCGTTGTTCACGAAGATCATTCTAACAGTGTAGACCTGAAGAAAAGGAATATGTACAAATATATGTGTAAATAGTACTTACAATGACCGCCGCACTGATCAGTCCTGTAGCACTCTGTTCGAAGATAAGTCGTACTGAATTGAAGACATTGTTGTCAACATTGTAGGTGAAAAATTCTATGAATATTACTCTGGTTGCATGGTCGATCCAAAGTTTGTACAGAATTTGTCGGAAATTGGCGTACGAATTATACAAAGTACGACCCAAATAAGCAACGTAGCCACCACCGGAGTAAGCCGCAAACTGACCTAGTATTAATATGAATTTTGGTACCACTAATTTGCTATTAACTTACCCACAGAGGGAAACGTTTTTGTGTCTTTTTCGTGGTAGTACCTCCAAATATTGACCAGTCTGTCATAGATCATATACGAGGAAAAATTCCCCCATTTATAACCAAACGTGCCAGTTTCGGTGTAAGGGATAGCAAATTCTGGCAAGCATGTCATATTCAAGAATTGCATAAGTGGGGGTACCTCACACAGTTTTTTCTTCATTCTTTGTTGTCGAAATCGGACCACACCAATGCATTTATCCACAACATCAACCATTAATCCAGGTTCGGATACTACAAAGTTTCCGTACCATCTGAGTGGATGAATCGAAGGGATTAAAGTTTCATTAATGTATGTATAGATACTAAAAAACACTGGATATCCTAAGTTTAAAAATAAACAAATCTTTACTCATAACTGGTTTCGATGCGATGAAAGTTTGTGGTTCTTGTAAAAACACCTTCGGCCACTTCTGTCATTGCAGTCTTACTTCGAACGATTAAACTATCCTTTCCTGCTAAAATGACTACGTATAAAAGTATGATGTAGACGGCAAACATCACCAAATCGTGAAGTTCTGCTATGACAAAATTTCGATGCAGAATCTTCATGGTTTTACTCTACAACAAAACAAGTCACCGAATTTGTTTTATTACAAGAAATTACAAACTTTAATTTGTCTTTTTCTCAAAGGGCGATAAAAATTTTCGAAGTATGGCCTTAGAAGTTGTTCGCCGAAACGTGAAAATAAGTATCTGCGTTGACCCTCGATGACGGTACGAATATCAGCAAATTTTTGTCGCACGTTATATTCCTAAAATTATATCCGTTAATACAAATCAAAGGTGAATTTACCTACAACAATATGAAATCGGTAGAAATACTTTGCAATGCAAACGAAAATACTTTCGTAGACTATAACCCCAAAAGTCACACCTATAGCACAGATTGTTAGCCAAACCAAGCTCTTGATTTGTGGTACCCAAAAACCAGACATTGTTAGAAACGCTGTTGAAACGGTTATCATACTGATAAGAATATACCTGAAGAAAGAAATATAAAATTGATTACATAATTAAAAACTAAAAACAGTTTTTACCAACAAGCCTGAGTGTATCGAAATGTCAGTTTAACATTTTGTTCGTAATGTGAAAACTGAATCGGAGAAAATCTGTAATTATTGTGAGAAATACATCGCACAAGTGTAAAATTTACATACCGAAAAATCCAAGCGATCGCAATATGCACCATAAAAGTAACAAATGAGCTTAAAAGAGCTACGTAAATATCAAATACGTTTACTCTGTGGTGTCGACGTTCATCCAAACTATCCCTCATTTCGAATCTGGGCAGTCCAATAAAAATTAGTACCAAAGCATAATTGGTTAAGACATTCGATAGAATAACTGTCAGTTTTTTTAAGTATGAAAACGTCGGCTCGTGTTCCCAGAGGTACCAATTATGGTGTTTCGGCGACAATATAAACCTACACTTTGCAGCATTGAAAACTTTTGACTCTTGTTTGTTACCATGAGTTGGTGTTAACTCTAGATGGGTACTACCCCTGATAAGCGATACCTTTTTTCTCACGTGGAAGTACCATTCCGTGTACTTTTGCAAGTCGAGAACAGTTATATCTCTACAAAACCTTAAGCAAGTGTCAGTGGACTTAGTTTTGGGGTTGACTACCAAGAAGGGTTCTGTCCAGTACAATCAAACCAAAGCTCCATCTTTCTTATGTTTCCTAAATGATGTTCTGTAGTCAAAATGAACAAATCTTTGCCAAACTGTTGAAGAATGCGGGACTGCGGATCGGGGTAGTTCAGAACGTGTGGCTATAACTCAGCTAATTAACAAAAGTCGTGTCAAAATTTCTGCCAACCTCGCTGGTGTTTTTCTCGCCGATGAGTTTAACGACTATGTTAGAGGAAGTACCTGAATTCAAAAGTAAACCAGTTTTGACTACAATTAAATAAACAAATCGATGGGAGATGTTGTTATCAGCCAAATAGTATAGCTGATCCTGGAAATTATTGATTGGTAAATTCGATGAAACTAAGTGATAATAAGGTACTTTTTTTTTAATTAAGCTGAAAATCATTAGTAATGAAATAATTCCGATGGTTGTGGCTGTTGTTATAAAAATAATCGGACAACTGGTGAGTCGTAACTCTAATTCTTCTCGTAGTACTTCTTGGGGGTGAGGTTCCACATTTTGTACATAACCCGCCAACACTGAAAACTGAGTACATTGACACTGAATAACACTGTCGTTGCTTTCTTGACCCGGCTGTTATAAAGCGTTGTCAAATATTAATCTCTCAGTTTTACAATGTAGTTACCCTACATGCTGGAACCCATTCATTGCTGAGTGTTACCCATTTAACACAAAATTTTTCATACGTGGCAATAGCGTAAGACAAAATTTTTGATTCCACTTCTTTGTTCGCTAGTATTCCAACATAAGCATGGATTTGTATATCTAGGTTATTTATTAATGTCAAACTACCATTCATTCCAAGTTTCATTGTCGTTTTATGTTCAAAGTCTTCAACTGTTGGAAATTTGTTCTCAGTTAAAACAACCTTAAATACAAATTTAAAGAAAATATTACCACGAAATAAACACTCACATCGAAGATGTCGCTCGACGTTAAGTTAACGAAGTTTACATGTAACGTTCGTCCCTTTGCTAACGTAATCCGGTAAACTTTAATCTCATAATTCAAATCGCTATCAGACATTGAACCGTATCCTTGTGGAATATTAATTGAATCTCTGAGCGCTTCGAACACAAAATTTTGTCTTTTCAAGTCAAAAAATATATTGACTGGTTTTAAAAAATTTTCTATGCGTTTCTTGCACGTCGAATGCCAAAAATTAACGTTAATTATGTTTGTGTCCACTTTCACACCGGCCGGATTCCACCAAAATATATCTTTTTTCCAAATTGTCATCTACGATGTTAAAATTAAACTTACAAACATTTCAGTTGTGGAGGAAGTACAAGCAAATCATATGAGTGACGGTCGTTTTCGAAATCCTTTGAAGGAATTAATAGGATTCCTTCTGGGTTAATTGTAGTTTTGGCAAATTCCAAACCAAGGTCTTTTAGAACCAGTGTTTCGCTCGATTTTCCTGGAACTCTGATAACACCTTCGCCAATGGCTGTAGTCAGCGCTATTGTTTTTCCTGTGGTGGAACTTCCTTGGATGATATTGTCGCTGGCTTCTTTCAACTAAGCGAAAGGAAGGCAGTTAAGAAAAATGGAATCAAGAAAACGTTCAAAGTCAATACATAGATTTTGGATACTTTACACCTATAAAATTTTTTAAAATTGTCATCTTAACAATTTTATTCCCAAAAAATTGGTCCAAAGTTATTTCGACAGAACTTCCCTGTTTCTGAAGTACAGTCCAACAAATACTGCTTTTTTGGAAAATTATAAAATTTGATTTTGCGAAATTTTACTTTTTCGTGATAACCTCTATGGAGTAAAAACAATATAGAAGGTACAAGTCACAGTGTAATAGAAAAAAAGACAATTGGCACCCCCGAGAAGGTTTAAGACACTTCGGGGCCCCGAGAAGGTTTTAGATTTTTGAAAGAGAGAGTTGGGACCCCCGAGAAGGTTTTACATGTTTAAAAAAGACAATTGGCACCCCCGAGAAGGTTTAACCTTCTTAAAAAATACCCTTGGGGTTCCCGAGAATCTTTTACATTTTTAAAAACGACAGTTGGGATCCCCGAGAAGGTTTCACATTAAAAAAACGACATTTGGGGCTCCCGAGAAGGTTTTACATTTTTAAAAAGGACAGTTGGGACCCCCGAGAAGGTTTTACATTTTTTAAAAAGACATTTGGGACTCCGAGAAAGTTTCCCATTAAAAGACACGTGAGGCTCCCGAGAAGGTTTTACATTTTAAAAGTTGGGACCCCCGAGAAAGTTACACATTAAAAAAAGAGACTTGGGGCTCCCGAGAAGGTTTTACATTCTTAAAAAACACGGTTGGGACCTCCGAGAAGGTTTTACATTTTTAAAAAAGATAATTGGGGTCCCCGAGAAGGTTTAACGTTCTTAAAAATACATTTGGGACCCCCGAGACGGTTTCACCGTAAAAAAATACACTCGGGGCTCCCGAAAAGGTTTTACATTTTTAAAAAACGCGATTGGGACCTCCTAAAAGGTTTCAGATTCTAAAAAAAACATTTGGTTCCCCCGAAAAGATTATACATTCTTAAAAAAGACAATTGGGACCCCCGAGAAAGTTTAACGTTCTTATAAATTACATTTGAGGCCCCCGAGAAGGTTTTACATTTTTTAAAAAGACAGTTATGACCCTCGAGAAGGTTTTACATTTTTAAAAAAGACAGTTGGAACCCCGAGAAGGTTTCACATTAAAAAAAAGGGCATTTGGTGCCCCCGGGAAGGTTTTACATTTTTAAAAAAGACAGTTGGGACCCGCGAGAATATTTCACATGAAAAAAAAAGTTGCTATCCCCGGGAAGGTTTTACATTTTTAAAAAATACAGTTGGGGGATGAGAAGATTTCACAAGAAAAGACATTTGACGCCCCTGAGAAAGTGGGAAAACATCATCAATAAAAAATTAGTTTTGGCATCATAAACGTCTGGTCCGCATTCCTGACTCGTAACCACTAGATCACGATCAGGATGCCTAATGGTTTTGATTTCGATCTGATGGTAGCAACATCGGAGCATTCGGAGCTCCGTTTCGGCTTAAAAATAGTACGTGTTCGCGAATTTTTAATTTACTGTTAATAAATAGTTATTAGTAAAAATATTTTGCGTTAGTGCTGTGAACACGAAGGAATAGTGGATATTTTTCCAAAAAGGTTCGAAACCGGGATAAGTCTGTAATTCGTATTTTGACAAATTTCTAAATTCTTGGGAAATTTGGGAAGACGATTTAAGTTGGCCAGTCAAAGCGAATAGCTTTTCAGAGGAATGAATAATATTTAAACATAATTAATATTGTTTATACTGTTTAAATATAATAAGTATTGATATGTCATAATTAAGCCGGAAACTGTTCTCCTACAAACATGAAGTTATTAAAAACAATTCAATTTGTTTAAACATTGTTAAATTAACCCTGAAGATGTGCAATTCCCCGGCCAAAATATGAAATAGTTATTTACATTATGAGTGCGGTAGGTAACATTTTGCAGGTTGAGGTCCTAATTTGCCACCCGACGCGAAGCGGAGGGTGGCATGGAACCGAAACCTGCAAAATGCCTAACGCACGAAAATTGTATTAAATTTTTACGCCGACATTGATTTTATTTTAAAAAATATTTGTTTTTAAAAATATTTTTCGAAATGGAAATAATGAAGTGACAGCTTATAGACTTGACGTTTACTGAAGGAATCTATAATACCGGCAGCCACGAGATGGCGCCATGTGATTTTTTTTTTAATAATTCATTTTTTCTCATTCAAAAGGTTTGATCCAACAAAACATGATGTAAAGTAGTATTCTAGTATGTTTTCTTTTATTATTTATACAGAACTTTTTTTATTAGAGCTTCTAGAGGCTAATGCATGTTGAATTACTTTGGCACCCAAAGGCGGTAAAGCAACGGTAAATTGATATTTGGTGCGTAAAGTCATTGTTACGCGGCATGTCAAAGGTGTATGAATGTTTTGTTTACATGTCAGGAGGCGAAAAAATAATTTCTGCAATCTCAGAGTGATGTACGATGACGTCACTGTCACGTGAGCTACCTGAGCAAACGTCACTATTTCGGTCCTTTGTGTTCAGTTTTAATTTAGATTTGATGGCAACAACTTCGGCGTGTCGTTTTGGCGTAAAAATAACGCGTTTTCGCGAATTGCTAATAAATATTATTGAAAATGTACTGTATTAGTCTTCTGAATTAGACAGAATGTGGATATTTTTCCAAAAAGAACCGAAAACGTGGTAAGTGATTTTAGTTTTAATTTATGGGAGTCCGTGATTCGTATTTTGACAAATCTCTAAATTTTTGTGAAATTTTGCAAGATTAAATAATATTTAAACATAATTAATATTATTTATACTGTTTAAATATGATAAATATTAATATGTCATAATTAAACAGAAAACCGTTTTCCTACAGACGTGACGTTATTATAAACGATTCAATTTGTTTAAATATTGTTAAATTAGCCCCAAAAATTTGCAATTTTCCGGCCAAAATATGAAAAATAATTTTTGCAATCACATCATGACGTTCGATTACGTCACTGTCACGAGAGCTACTTGAGCAAAGGTCATATTTTTCGGTCCTTTATATTCAGTTTTGATTTCGGTCTGGTGGGAGCAACAACCGAGCATTCACAGCTCCGTTTCAACTTAAAAGTAGTATGTGTCTGAGAATTTTTAATTTATTGTTAATAAATATTAGTGAAAATGTTTTGCATTAGTGCTGTGAACACGAAGTAAAGTGGATATTTTTGCCAAAGAGGCTCGAAAACGGGTAAGTACAATTTGAGTTTTAATTTATCGGAGTCTGTAATTCGTATTTTGATAAATCTCTAAATTTTTGGGAAATTTTGGAAGACGATTTAAGTTGGCCAGTCAAAGCAGATAGCTTTTCCGAAGAATAAATAATATTTAAACATAATTAACATTATTTATAATGTTTAAAAATGACAAGTATTAATATGTCATAATTAAACAGAAAACCGTTTTCCTACAACGTGACGTTATTATAAACTATTCTATTTGTTTAAATATTGTTAAATTAGCCTCAAAAATTTGCAATTTTCCGGTCAAAATATGAAAAATAATTTTTGCAATCACATCATGATGTACGATGACGTCACTGTCACGAGAACTACTTGAGCAAAGGTCATATTTTTCGGCCCTTTATGTTCAGTTTTAATTTGGGTCTGGTGGCAACAACATCCGAGCATCCGCAGCTCCGTTTCAACTTAAAAGTAGTATGTGTTTGAGAATTTTTAATTTTTTGTTAATAAATATTAGTGAAAATTTCTGCGTTAGTGCTGTGAACACGAAGTAAAGTGGATATTTTTCCAAAAAGGCTTGAAAACGGATGAGTACAATTTGAGTTTTAATTTATCGGAGTCTGTAATTCGTATTTTGACAAATCTCTAAATTTTTGGGAAATTTTGGAAGACGATTTAAGTTGGCCAGTCAAAGCAGATAGCTTTTCCGAAGAATAAATAATATTTAAACATAATTGTTTAAATATTAGTACATTGTTTAAAGCATTCAAGTACATAATTAACATTATTCATACTGTTTAAATATGATAAGTATCAATATGTCATAATTAAACCGAAATCCGTTTTCCTACAAACATGACGTTATTATAATCAATTCAATTTGTTTAAACATTGTTAAATTAACTCCGAAAATGTGCAATTTCCCGGCGAAAACATCAAAAATAATTTTTGCAGTCTCATCGTGACGTACGATGACGTTATTAAAAACAATTCAGTTTGTTTAAACATTGTTAAATTAATTAATTACTGCTGCTTTTTCCAAAATAGAAAACACATGACTATTTAATTTTGGAGAGTCAAAAATATACTCACATTTTCCTGAGTTTTGTAATACTCTTCATCGAAGTCAACATAGTTTGGATAACTCTCAGTTAACATTGGTCCTTCAAAAATAGCTGCTTCTGTGGTAACATTTAGAACAATAGGTCTTATCACGTCGAGATTAGGATTTAAATTTACTTCAAAACAACTAATTAAAGTTCTAGAAACACATTTCCATTATTGATCCACAATTGATAAAAAAATCATAATCACTTGGATAAGTTGTGCACTGAATCTTCCATATACAATGGGTATTGTTCTTCCTTGACTAAATCTAAAGATCTATCTGCCATTTTCTTACAAACTGTTGTAGTAAACTTTGCCAGTAGTGGATCTGACTCTGGTGCTGCATTAATTTCCTGCAGCTGGGTCAACGTACTACTAAGCTGTTCTATTTCGTCTAGACTTTCGAGAGGTGCCTAAACTCATGTTTTAAACAAAAAATTAACAAAATTGTGTAAAATACTTTTAACATGTCCTCAGCTGCAGAAAATTTGAGGTTTTCAACGAAACTAGCAATTTCTTCATTTTCAATTTTACTAACTATGAGCTCTTCAATCAAATTTTCGAAAATTTGTCGGGCCGTACTTCTCTCAAGCTGATCGGGGCTACTAACCAATTCAGAGAAAGTTTTGAGAATGTCTGTAGTATCATTTGCTAAAACTGTGTCCAGAAAAGACTTCACGTTTACTACAAGTTTTATCTCTTTAGCCGGATATGGCTCTGATTCCACTCGTTCGATTTTTAAAATAAATTCATTTCCTTCAGATGGAGGTAACGTGAACGCTAAATTAAAAACGTCGGGGTAGGGTCCAGCCGTTATCACATTTTTCAGTGTAAAATCTACAAAATTAGTGATACAAACACACTTGTGTAAATAACTAAAGTACCATTAACGTTCCTTCTGATCAACTGATAATGGTAAGGCTCGTTTGGTGGTTCCTGAGTACAAGAAAACGTGAAACGAGTCGTTTGAGATACTCCTTCGGGTGGGTTTATCTTACAGTCTCGGATACCCGGAGCACGTTGAAACGAAATTTTAAGTGATGCATATCCGTCAACACCAGCTGTAGAGTTCGTGCTCACTTTTATTATATACCAACGAGCGCTAAATGCATTTTTTTCTAGAAAAAATATTTTTCCCGTTTTACCATAACGCGAACTTTTGAAATTAAAAACATAATATTTCTCATTTGGATGTTCCACATTCCACACATAATCGTCATCTTTTATTCCGGTGCAGTTACTTACACACGACACCCCAATTATGGTTTCCATTTCGTAATTCGCAAACGGAGTCCAAGGAACACAATTTTTTCTACAACTGTGGAAAACAAGTTCAAGGGTAAAACACGCAGGTTAGTAATTACTGGATATCTAAAAGGGCCGCATTAGCTCGAATGAAGATCGTTTGAGTTACTGATGCCGATATTTTATCGTCTAGGTAGCTCAATGAAACTTCTAGAGTATAGTGTACAATTTCACCAACGCGAAAAGACGCTCCTTTAACCGTAAATTTTTTAACGTCAGTATCTCCTTTACATACGGATCCTGGGCTAAGTTTTTGAGTACAAGACCAGCGAAATTTTAAATTGTCACGGCTGAAAGAGCCAAAATTTCGATCGAAGGACTCTTCTCCATCCATAACGAAATCCGTCCCAACTGGTACTACTCTCTCGTAACCACCTGCTATTATCGGATATGGCTTATAAGATTTCGTTAAGAAGTAGCATGTTTTGTGTCCGTTTGTAAAAGGGGATGGTGGTCCTGTTGTGGCAGATGGTGAACGGGTACTAGTGACGGTTAGGTTATATATATTGGGTATGAGGGTGTACTTGGGTATCACGAATTGGTGATCTTCACTGCTATACCAGCTTTTAGTATCATATTTAGGAGGGTTAACCGTATTTCTATCTACAAAAAGTACATGTAAATACTAGTTAAGAACGATGAATGGACTTACGATTTTTGTAACTAAGGTCGTAAGTCCAGATATAGTTGTTTAATAAGCTTCGATTTGGTTCCTGCCATATAGGCTTTATGATTACAGATTCGGACGGAGTAAAAGGTAATATACGGTTTCCTGGACTAAAAAGCTTAAATGAGTTTTGGGTAAACAAGAATGGAAAAGTTTACCAGTTTGTTAACTCTACAAGGTCTTGTCCAAAGAACCCTAATACGAAAATGCCATATTTTATGTAGTTTAGATTTAATATACTTACCGTTTATAATGATGAGAAATAAAAATAGTTCATTAAAAACTAGTTTCATGACAAAGTAGAGCCTTTTTGTATTTATCTTTTTTGTTTAAATTGACAGCACTTCATTTTTAAATAAACAGTAGCAAAACTATAGAAACAAAAAGAAAATAGGTGAACAAGGAATTTTGTGATAGGAATTATTGAAAATCTTCGAAACTCAGAACTTTGTATTTAAGTTTTTGTTACGCAACAATCTTTTGCCTCTAGCACTGAGAAAAAAAAAACGAAAAACTATGCTCAATGTGAATATCTCTGAAAATATTCCAAAAAAAAAAGAAAGCAAAACCTGATTTAAAGTAATTGCATGCAAATACACAAGTTATTACGTACGTGTGGCGGCAAATTTAAATTATGGCAGTCAACAAGAGCACAAAATTTTAATAAAGAAATTATGCAGCGGCAGCGGCTCCAGAGCGCTATAAGAGTGTGGCGATCGAACTATGTCGATTTCAGTCTAGAGCGCAACAAAAAAACCCATAGGGGGCGTTGTAGCGCGGGCGGAGTTTGGGGCTCCCGGTCGTGGCTGTTCTTCCACCACGACGGTGATTCTATTCTCGACAAACACTACCGCCCGGCACCCCTCTATCTAACGAAGAAACGGCTATAAATAAGCTGACAGCGTCACGTCATCCCGACCGTCCCTAACTCTTATTCAAGACTGCATCTTTGTGCAGATGGCGCGGCGGCCAGCTCGACAAGGAACCGTGCTCTCGGCTTCCACTACGTGTTTCTATGTTATTTAACCTCAATTCCATTTGAATGTTCACTTTCTATGACTTTGATATTAAACGACAATTGAACAAGTGTTAAAGTTTCAAAAGGAGCAATAAACAACATTCTTATTTGAGACTAGCTGACCCCGTGAACTTCGTTTCACCTACAATTTAATTTTGAATCTGCAAAATCGAATGCTTTGAAATCTTGCAGATGTTTTAAACGTATGATGAGCATAATAAATTTTTATTCAAAATATATTTACTTATCCCCTCCAAAAAATTGATGACGTCAGCCTAAAATTTTGCCAAATGAATCCTATCTAAAATGTCCAAAATAGGATGAGACTATACTTGTGATTTATCATTCCATTCATATTTTTTAGTTTTGCTTATAGGGGGTGTCTCAAAAAAATTAATCACTGAGTCAATTTATTTTATTGATTGAATCAAGAATTGCAAAACTGAATTTTGAAATATTGCAGACGTTTTGAAGTTACTGTTTGACATGGTAGATTTTCAATCAAAATATATCTGTTTATCAAGCCCAAAAACTTGAAGACGTCATCTCAAGATTTTGCCGAATAAATCCTATCTAAAATGTGGAAAACATCATCAGTATATTTTCGTAATTTATCATTGCATTCATATTTTTTAGATTTGCTTTTACAGTGACTCAAAAAAATATATGGATCAGTCAATTTATTTTAGTGAATAACTCAAGAGTTGCAAAAATAAATACTTTGAGATCTTGCAGACGTTTTAAAGTTATTATAAGCATGGTAAATTGTTAAGAACATTTATTTATTCCCCCCAAAAAATTGATGGAATGGCTCACTCGATTTTCGCAGATAATTTTGGGAATACAATACAGTTATTTTCAGTATTACACTGCACCAATCCAAGGTGGTATACGTGTTGATAGTAAATGTTGATTAGGTCATCACAAAATTGTGTGAAGAACAGACTCAACTCGAAAATGCTGAATAGGTTTTATTATACTTTTGGTGCGAAGCAAGTTCTGTCGAAACAACGTTCGATCAATTTTTTGACAATGGTTGATATAAATAAAACTCAGTAGATGCTCATACTCGAAATACGAAGTATCTACTCGAATATCAAATCAAAATATTTCTAGTTTTTCTAGATGATACTAATATTTCAGTAAGTAACAGTTGATGCTCAAGTAGCATCTCGATACAACAAAAAAGGACAACAGTGACGGTGTTCAACCATCAAGGCAAAAATCGAGTCACCAAAATATAAGTTAGCATGGGGTAGACACCTTGAGATGGGAATCTCTATGGCCAGTGTTAGAAAAAACGCACTGCACAATTTATGCATAAATAAAATGAAAAGTTTTCGATATTCCTGCTCCTAATGTGTTTTTCAAACTGAATGCACCTTTTGACGACGTTCCACGTTCATGAAAGTCACCATGTTTAGTTAAAATTCACTCTTACAACGATCCTACTGGTTTTCTAAGCTGCTTTACAGACAGTTCAGTTATTTGCCACGCCGATGCTCATTTCTAGATTAAATGCTCACAAAACGCGTAGATGTTCAGTTTGTGTCCGGGGAGATACAATGTTTTCAAGTAGGTACTCAGTACATAGAGTAGATGCTCAGGTATATAAGAGTAATAATGAAGTAGGTACTTCGTACTTCGAAAATGAGTATCTACTCAGTTTTATTCATACCACCCAATGTCTCGCTTCAATGTTTGATTATGTTGATTATGAGCACAACGCTGATCAACTTCCATATCCGAATTACCTATGAAATAAAATCATTGCGGTTTGATTGACTCCGTGGACCTATGTCAGCTTGTCGTCTTCTCCGCATTTTAATGAACTTCATAAAACGACACAGAATTATTTTCACAGTCAATCAAATCTGTAAATTTTGTCTTGGGAATTTTAAAATATTGAAAACTTCAAATTAAATCCTCGAATAACGGTAAAGTTTGAGGTTTTGTGGAAACCAACAAAGTGACTATAGGTAAAAAGAATGGCAGATCAAAATGAATAAGAAACTTTCGCAATGCACGATTTGAAATGCAATATACTTTTCACAATCGCACGGAAGAATTAGTTTTGTGTATGACACGTCAGTTAGACGACAGGTCCGTCAGAAACGCCAACTATTGAAATTAATTCGAAGTGGCGATTCCCATACAAAATTTTTAGAATTTTTTTATTTTTTAACTGTTCTTTTAAGTTATTCTTATTTTTTTTTATTTATAAACCATTCCCGTAATATAAAAAAAATTTCAAATCGGTCAAGCCGTTTTTGAGTCTTGGCGAGACTAACAGGAACAACAATTGATTTTTATTTTATAGACGATTAAAAAATGGGGGTTGGTGGTAGAAAGGTGAAAATTTAGGGTTGTGTGTATTTTTTGATGCCAAATCTTAAAAAAATAAAAATAAAAAATTTTGTCCTAAACATAGACAAAAATTTTTTAGAGTGGGCCACCCTTATCATTTAGGGGTTTAAAAAATAGTTTACAACCTATTGTCAGACCTACCGAATATACATAAAAAATTTCATACAAATCGGTCAACCCATTTCGGAGAAGTTCGGTTACAAACACTGTGACGCGAGAATATTATACATAATGCATTATTATTTTAGAACAAATTTCATTACCATAAAAAAGGTTATACTGACTCGACCTTAAAAGACAGACATATGCTGTCGCGGACTTTTCTTTAGAACTTTTAGAGTGGAACAATTTCGTCACACATTATTTTTACGTAACTTTAACCGTTTAAGCAGCGTAAGCAACGGAAGCTGTCAAAGGAGGAATAATAGCAAACTTTTATCAAAACAAAAGATCTGGTTCAATTTTAATTATACAACAAAGAAAATTACTGAAGTTAAAATTGTGAGATAGAGAAATATTGTATGAGGTGAAAATTGCAAAGCTAACAAATTTACATGAATTAATATTTGTCACACTTTATCAATGATTCAAACAAATAATTTACATTATGTTAAATTATGTTTTGACCCAAATGATTGGTAACTTAAAACAATTTGTTTTGAGAATTTATATCGTGAACTGTTTACCCCAAACAAAACACATGATAAATAAACACAAAAATATCCAGTCAGCGTTGCGAGGAATAAGCGTCTCGGTGATGTAATTTTTTAGCGTTGCGAGGAAATGCCTCGGTGATGTAATCAATCTTGAACGTTGCGGGAAATGCCTCGATGATGTAATCTAATAACGATGATAACTGTCTGGGGAGAGAAATTATTTTAACCCCCCTCCAGGTCACGGTATTATGAATTTTGTTAATTTAACTGCCGTAAATGAATTATTAGCAATCTTGTGTGAAGAATTAAAAAGTGTTATAACGTAACACTTACGTATTCGCACCCAGAAACTTATTCATAATTAAGGTTTTCTGATACTCCTTTTTTTTTAAATAGATGAAGACCGTCAGGGTCCATTGTGTTTTATTTTTAAAGAATTACAAAAATCTCAGGGCACTCGGGTCTTATTTTTGAAAGAAAATGAAAAATTTGGGGAATCCCCGATGTTGTATTTTTGAAAAAAATTTAAAGAATCTCAAGAACCCCTAGTGTTTGATTTTTGAAAAAGTTTGAAAGAATCTTGTGGGTTCTTCCTAGTTTGAAAGAATGTGAAAGAATATCTTTTACTTCTTGTGTTTTACTTCTGGACGAATACAGGAAAATCTCAAGAGTCCCTGGTGTTTTGCATTTAATTGTTTGAAAGAATCTCTTGGAGTACGTAGGTTTTTTTTAATATGAAAGAATCTTCCGGACCCTTTGAGCTTTAAAAAAAATCTTCGAGGAAAGAAATTTAAAAAACTCGGGGACCCTTGATGTTTTATCTTTTGAAAAAATTGTTAAATCTTCGGAGGCTCTTGGTGTCTTATTTTTGAAAATTTGAAATATCCAGGGAACCCCCGAGAAGGTTTAACGTTCTTATAAATTACATTTAGGGCCCACGAGAAGGTTTCACATTAAAAAAAAGGACATTTGGCGCCGCCGGGAAAGTTTTACATTTTTAAAAAAGACAGTTGGGGCCCCCGAGAAGATTTTACATTTTTAAAAAAGACAGTTGGAACCCCCGAGAAGGTTTCACAAGAAAAGACATTTGGCGGCCCTGAGAAGGTTTGACATTATTAGTAAATAAAGAAAGGCGTATTCTCAACTTTTCGAGAAAGTGGGGAAACATCATCAATAAAAAATTTGTTATGGCGTCATAAATATCAATAATACACAATGCGAGAGAAAAGGAGAAAAAAACGAATGGCCAAGTTTGGAATCGAACGCGCGACGTCCGGTCCGCATTCCTGACTCGTAACCACTAGACCACGATCAGGATGCCTTACGTTAATGGTTTTGATTTCGATCTGATGGCAGCAACATCGGAGCATTCGGAGCTCCGTTTCGGCTTAAAAATAGTACGTGTTCGCGAATTTTTAATTTACTGTTAATAAATAGTTATTAGTAGAAAGGTTTTGCGTTAGTGCTGTGAATACGAAGGAATAGTGAATATTTTTCCAAAAAGGCTAGAAAAAGGAGTAAGTACGATTTGACTTTTAATTTATCGGAGTCTGTAATTCGTATTTTGACAAATTTTTAAATTCTTGGGAAATTTGGGAAGACAATTTAGGTTGGCCAGTCAAAGCGAATAGCTTTTCGGAGGAATAAATAATATTTAAACATAATTAATATTGTTTATACTGTTTAAATATAATAAGTATTGATATGTCATAATTAAACCGAAAACCTTTCTCCTACAAACATGAAGTTATTAAAAACAATTCAATTTGTTTAAACATTGTTAAATTAACGCTGAAAACGTGCAATTCCCCGGCCAAAATATGAAAAATAATTTCTGCAATCTCATCGTGACGTACGATGACGTCACTCTCACGTGAGCTACCTGAACAAAAGTCATTATTTCGGTACTTAGTGTTCAGTTTTAATTTTGATTTGATGGCGACAACATCGGCGTGTCGTTTTGGCGTAAAAATAACGCGTTTTCGCGAATTTTTAATTTATTGCTAATAAATATTATTGAAAATATACTGTATTAGTGTCCTAAATACGACGGAATGTGGATATTTTTCCAAAAAGAATCGAAAACGGGGTAAGCGATTTGAGTTTTAATTCGTATTTTGACAAATCTCTAAATTTTTGTGAAATTTTGCAAAACTAAATATGTAATATTTAAACATAATTAATATTATTTATACTGTTTAAATATGATAAGTATTAATATATCATAATTAAACAGAAAACCGTTTCCTACAGACGTGACGTTATTATAAACGATTCAGTTTGTTTAAATATTGTTAAATTATCCCCAAAAAATTGCAATTTTCCGGCCAAAATATGAAAAATAAATTTTGCAATCACATCATGACGTTCGATGACGTCATGATGTGAAAGAATCTTGTGGATTCTTCCTAATTTTAAAGAATGTGAAAGAATATCTTTTACTTCTTGTGTTTTACTTCTGGACGAATACGGGAAAATCTCAGGAGTCCCTGGTGTTTTGTATTTAATTGTTTGGAAGAATCTCTTGGAGTACGTAGGTTTTTTTAATATGAAAGAATCCGGGCTTTTTGAGCTTTAAAAAAAAATCTTTGAGCAAAGAAATTTAAAAAACTCGGGGACCCTTGAACCCCTGGTGTCTTGTTTTTAAAAAAGTTTGAAAATGACTTATGGGTTCCCAGTATCTTTATTTTATTTTTGAAATGATTTTTAAAAACTTTGAAGCTTGTTTAGTTATTGAAAGAGTTTGGAAATATCGAGAGGACCACCTGGAGAATATTTAGCACCCTTAATGTTTTATTTTGAATGAAAAAATCTCCGGGGTTTTTGTGCTCTATTAAAAAAAAGAAAAAAATCGAAAATCCTGGTGTTTTGTTTTTGAAAAAATCTTTGAGGGTTCCTTTGTATTTTGTTTTTTTTTTGTTTCGAGATCCCTTGTGTTTTGTCTTTGAAAAAACCGGAAAAAATTTCAGGGATTTTTTGTGTTCTATTTTTGAAAGAGTGAAAATATCTCGGTTTTGTTTCCGAAAAAATTTAATAGATTTGTAGCGACCCATCGCATTTTTTTTTAATAAATGAAAGAATTTTCTGGACCCTTGTATTCTATTTTTGAAAAAAATTCAAAGTCTCGGGGACCCTTGGTGTAGTTTTTAAAAAATTTGAAAGTACATTAGAAACCCCTGCTCTTTTTTTTAAGAAATGAAAAAATGTTTGAGGCCCCTAGTGTCTAATTTTTTAAAGGACTCTAAGGTAAAAAGTTTGACAATAAAACACCCACACTCATTCTTCAGCTTTTTATTTTCAACAAATCATCCTCAAATTTACCAATTTTAAATAAAACTAACTTCAATAACAAATCGCACCTTCTGAGTGTCTTTAAATGTTTTCCAATATAACGAACGCACTCCTCTGCATCTCCACGTGTTTCTTCGACTCGCTCTTCCTTCGATCCTTCTTCAAGCAAAGCATGAACAACTTCCACGATCATCAGAATTCGTTTTTCGTCAATAAGCGTGATCCTGTTTCCTTTGACTCGTCCTTTCAAAAAAATTTCAGTTTCGTATTCACTTTTCACAAAAGTGTGTCGACAAATCGCAAGCATCAAGTTTATATCGTTGTCAGTGACAGAAAGTGGGCGATTTATGTGTCTTATGGCGCATTTTGTCACATCCTCCATCATTTTCATGCGGTTTAAAGCCACATTGTAACTATTAAGATAAAGAAATTTATCTGATTTGGGTTCTACTTTACTCTTGCTTTGTCCACCCGCAAGTCTTGAAAATTTATATCTGATCAATCTAGGCACGTACTTCATTTGTTCTAGTACGTAGTGTTTGATGTTGTATGTGTCTGTCGTTGTTGAAAATTCTAGCTGGGCTTCTGTATACGACATGACGATGATCATGATGTAAACGAAAGTGACAATTTTTACAACGATACTGTAGGCAGTAAAATAGAAAACAGCGTTTTTGTAATCTACGAACCTTGATAGTTGTAATTCGCCAGCTTTGAAAGACATGATGATTAATAACCTCACAGTTTGGACAATAGTATCGAGTTTTTCAAATTCATTCCCGAATAAAATGACAATCACTATAGAAAATGCTACTAGTAAAACAGTGAAACTGAAGGTAACACTACCAAGTGGTACCGCAGATATTGAAAGCGTGCGTTCTAACACTCTGAACATAGTTCCAAATCTGAGAAATTTCCAAAGCCGGATTGTAGCCACACACACCAAAACGGCAGCAAAAACTGTCAAGAAATCTTCCAAGTAGAAAAGATAAAAGTAGTTTAAGAATTCGTTACGTCTGATACTTTCCAGTTTGTTGAGGTAAATTTTAATCAAGTGCATTCTAAAACTGAACAAAAAAATGCAAGCCATACTCATAAGAACGATTAAAAAATCTATCATAAACCAAACGTCTTTGTAAAAGGTGCGAACTCTCTTGATGACTCCTACTGACTGTTTAAAAAAAAATAGTACCACCCATAGAATGAAAAGCGCAAAGAAAGTATACGAAATTGTTTCTACTTCATTGTGAACTAACAACATTCGTGCAGCATAAACCTAAAACTGTGTCAGTCTTTTAATCAAGTCAAACTTTCTACTTACCTCAACTCGCTTAAAAGTGTAACCAGTGACACTTTGTTCGAACAACAAAGTAATTGCGTTGAAAACATTGTAATTAGCGTTATAGGTCAAAAATTCAATGAACATGCTCCTACTTTTTCGATCAATCCAAAATTTTGCCACAATCCGTTCAAGATTGGCATAGGAGTTGTAGAGGGTACGACCTAAGTAGGAAACGTAGCCGCCTCCAGAGTATGTGGTGAACTTTCCTAGCAAAAATTACGTAACACTAAAAAGCAACCAAAGTTTTCGTAGTACTTACCTGTAGTTCCCAGTGACCCAGTTTTTGCTGAGGATGCATACACCCATATATGTCTCAACCTGTCAAACTGCAAATAAGCAATATTTGTTTGTACCGCGTAACCAAATATTCCAGTAGCCGCTTTAAATAACGAAAATTCCGGTGAGCAACTATTTTGTATGAATCTCATAGGTTTTGCGATTACACACGCATTCACTTTGGATCTATGTTGTCTAAAACGTGCCACTCCGATGTATTTGTTAGTCACGTCTACCATCATTCCTGATTCTGAAACGACAAAATTTCCGTACCATTTCCTAGGTTGCAGCGACGAAATTAAAGTACTGTTGAAGTACTCATAAATACTGAAAGAGTGAAAACGATTGTAAGTAGGTACTACTATAGATGATAATTGTACCGTTCGATCGTTTCAACATCATGAAAATTCAAACTTCTAGTATGTACTCCTTCCATCATCTCTTTCATTTCTGTTTTTCCACGTACTATTAGATTGTCCTTATTAGCTAGGATTACCACGTATAAAATGACGATGTAGATGGTAAACATAACCAAATCTTCTAACTCTGAGATAACATCGCGCCGATGTTTAACTATATCCCGTTTTTTCTAAGATTTAAGACGTTTGTTTTAATTACGATTTTAAACTAAAATACTGACTTTGATGATGGCGGTTTGCATTGGTCTATATAAATGTTGGAAGTACGGTCGTAACAAAGGATCGCCGAATCTTTTGTACAAAGTGTACCTTTGGGTTTCCGTGGATCTCCAAATTTCGTGAAACTTCAGTCTAATATTGTTTTTCTACAAAAAAATGATAATAAATCGCAACACTTCAATGGTACCACACCAATTCCATTTTGCACAACATATTTTGTACAAAAGCAAACATATTTTCGTAGATTAAAACTGTAAAAAGTAGACCAATACCACACGTGGTTAACCAGACAAGACTTTTATTATAAGGAACCCAAAAGCCACAAATAGTCAAAAACGATGCCGACGCAATTATAAAAGTTGTCACTAGAATCCTGTAGTAAATCTCATAAATTTTATCATAAAGTTACTCGTGTTAGTACTTACAAGCACACTGCGGTCATTTTAAATGACACTGTTTCGTCTGGTTTTCGTCCAGAAAATTCAATTTTTGACAACCTGGAATATCAAACTTTGGTTGCGTATTATCAATAGTGATAAATGGTACCGAAAACACCACACAAGCATGAGGTGTAAAAGAAACACCAGAAATGAGCTGACGAAGGCTGTTAGAACAGTAAACACGTCTATACCGTATCTGTAGTAATCAAAACCGTCTCTGAACTGGAACGACGGTACTCCTTGAAGAATCAAAACGAGTGCGAATATCATCAAAATAGTTGATAATAAAACAGTGAGTCGCTTCACGTAGGTAAAGTTTTCTTCACTCCGCCACAAACACCAAGTGTGGTACTGACCACCAAATTTAATTTTGTAGGGTGAGTCGGTTTTGGTTGGTTCAAGTTCTACGTAAGAATCTCCTTTAATAACAGCCAGACGTCGTTTGACATTAAAGTACCATTTCGTGTATTGTTGCATATCGTAAACTGTAATGTCTCTGCAAAACCTATAATAGTGATAATGATAACACGTGTTACTAAAGAGATTCGACAACTACCAATCCGGGCTTGGTCCAATACAGTCGAACCACATTTCCAATTTTAATAAATCACCTAGGTGGTGTTTCGTCGTCAGAAAAAACATATCTTGGCCAAATTTTTGCAGCAGACGCAATTTTGGATCTGGGTAGTTTAAAACATGAGCCTGAAATAAATATTAACTAAATCGCAGTTAAAAATAATGAACGGACATCGCTAGATCTCTTGTTTCCCACAAGGCGAACTGTTACGTTAGATGTAGTACCGGAATAGCGTCCAGTGCCGGTTCTTACAGACAATAAGTACCCAAAGCGGTGTTTACGAGTATTGTCGCTTAAGAAGTAGATTTCAACCTACAAAACAAAAGCTCCAACTATGCTTGTTAGAAGGTGGTACTTACTTTGTTTCGAATTAGTATCAAGAGAAGTAGTATGCAATAGAGTGCAAAAATTGCCGCAACAGTTATAAAAATTATGTATGTTGATTGTAGCTCTAGTTCCAATTCGGTGAGAACAACCTCTTGTTGATCTGATTTAACATTCTCGACGTATCCAGCAATAATAGAAAAATTTGTACAAAAACAATGAATGGTATCTTCTTCGCTTGCTATTGCTAGCTAAGTAACGTTACTAGAATCAGATAAGTTAACTTTACTTACGTTGCACGTAGGACTCCAAACGCTAGTCGATTCTACCCAATGAACACAACAAGCGCCCGAAAAACCAAGCTTGAATGTTATAGACTGGAGAGAGTTTTTTGCCACGTACTCCTTATTTGCCAAAATTCCAATATAGCACCAGATATCAAAATCGTCATCATTCTTTAAGTTCAAAAAGGAATTTTCGTTCCAGAAGACTGTGGTACTATTTTGAAAATCTTCTGCCGTCGGGAATTTAAAGTTGGTGATCACCACCTATTGACACACTAATTAAACTTCTATCAGTAATAATCAACGCAAACTTTACATCTAGCGCATCAGTTTCATCTAGTTGTAACAAGTGGATTTGCAAAAGCCACTTTTTTGGTAGCGCAATTCTTTTGACTTTGATCAATCGGCTTAGATCTTCACCAAACAATTGTTCGTATTCTTCCGGAATAAGAAATGTTTCTTCATTGAATATCACTTTATCTTTGACATCGTCCTTAATTTTAAATATAAGTTGTGCCGGTTCGTTGAAATTGCTAATTCGTTGCTTACACGTCGAATGCCAAAACTCAATACTCGCGATATCTGTTGCCACTTTCGTTTTGGCGCGGTTCCACCACAAGATATCGTTACTCCAAGTCGACATCAAAATATCAAAAGTGTGATCGTCACCAGCAAAGTCAGGCGATGGAATCAAAGTCACTCCTTGTGAACGAACTTTACTTTCAGCTAAAACTTCTCCTTCGTCTTTAGCTACAACAGTGGCGCTCTTTTTGCCGAAAACTTCTATAAACTTTTCGCCGACCGCTGTCGTCAACGCTAGAACTTTTGCCGACATACTTGTAGCGTTGATGATGTTGAAGGTCGCTTCTTTTAACTGAGGAACGATGATCACGAAATGTACAAACAAGAACAAACAACAACTCACATTTTCCAAATTTTCGTAGTAGTTTTCGTTAAAGTCGACGTAGTTGTCGTAGTTTTCTGTAACGACGGTGTCTGAAAGGAGAGGTTCTTCGGTGCTGATATTGCGCTCAATTGGCGCGATGGCGTCAAAATTCGGGTTAGTGTTGGTTTCGAGACATTGGGTCAACGTATTCGACACTTTTTCTGCCTTGTCTCCATAGTTGAGCGGAAATTTTTCCTTTCTGAGAAGATCTATTTGCTTAGATGCCATTTTTTTGCAAACTGTTGTGCTAAACTTGGCAAGGAGGGGGTCAGACTTTGGGTTTTCCTCATGGGTCATCAGTTTCGTTATAGCTTCAGTAATTTGGGCCACTTCGCCGACGGAATTAACGGGTGCCTGGGGTTACCATTTGTGAAAAAACGTACTGACAATTGTAAACTTACATTGAGAATGTCAGTAGCAGCTTGATACTTTAGGTTGTCAATAAAATCTTTCATTTCTTGATCGTCGGCTTTTGTGATTATCAACTGGTCTATCAAAGCGTGGAATTTACGAAGGCCTGCTTTTTTCAGTTGTGTGTCAGGATTTGATAGCAATGCAGGGATCGAAAAGGTTTCGTCTTCTCCGTTGTACAGTTTGTCGAAAGCATTAGCAGACACTGTACTCTTTGCGACATTTGCATTTATAGTTATTTCAATTGGAGGTCCACCTTGGTACGAGATCCTCATCAAAAAAACGTGATTATTTGAAGGTGGTAGTTGAAATTGGACACCAAAAACTCCGGGAAAATATTCTTCTAAAATAAGTTCTTCCTTGGACAAATCTATAAATGATTATAGCGGAAATTCAAAACGCTTGACTATTATAAGAACAAAGACAAATCTTACCATTTTTGTCCTTAACCACAAATTCATACAAAGTGCGGTAAGCACTACTTTGCGAACAGTTTACCTTAAACAGTGTCAACATACTTTGCCCACCACTGGGTATTAACTTACAAGAATCAACCTGTGGTGGATACTCAAACTCCAAAGTAAATATAGCTTCACCTTCACGAGGCGCCGAATCTGTCAATTTCATGCTCACACCGTAAGTCCCAGACACTAACACATTTTTAAAAATAAAAAATTTCGTCCCTTTGCGACCAAACTGTGTATTTTTGTTATAGTCGAAATTAAAACCTTGGTCGTCTTTTCGTTCAATAGTCCACTCATAATGCACATCTCTAATACCACGACAATTAGACATGCACTTAGCTCTCAAAAAAGTGGGATACTGATAATTCGAAGTGTCTGAAACCGGGGGACAATTTTTTTCACAAGTGATTTCAATTTGGGCCGCGTTGTCTATCACGTCAATGGTTTGAGTGAAAGTATCATTGCTGTCAAAAGTTGTCAAGATTGTCAACGTGACTGTGAACGTGTCACCCGTTTCGACGAAACTGGCAGGAATCCGTAATTTGCTTTTGGTGGAAAGAACGTCAGAGGTGCAGAAAGTCGGGGGTTGTTTTTTCTGAGAACAATTCCAGGAGTACTGGAAATTCTCATTTGTTCTTATTTTCTCGTTCGGATCGAAGGATTCTTCTCCGTTGAGTTTAATGTCGGTGTTGCTAGCGACGATTCTGCGATTTCCTCCAGAAATGACAACAACGGGTGGTAGACCAAAGTAGAAGAATTGACACTTGGTTTTGTTAAGGGGGCGTAACCTATCTTCCTACAATGGTTTAAGTGATATTTTTGACTCTTGTTGGAACTTACAGGCCTTTTGAGGGTTGCGGAAGGATAGATTATGTAATGTCCGGGAGTGATGCCGTATTTGGGTATTGTAATTATTGATCCCTCGTCCTCCAACCATTTGGAAATGTCGATAAGTTTCTCGACTTCTTGTCCATCTTTAACTGCGCCGAGGATTAGTCGAATACTTTTATTTAAAGATTTTGGGTACTCACTCACTATTTTTACCATTCTGTACTTCCATGTGTAGTTTTTGATTGGATTAATTGGTAAACGCTCCTCGGTCCAGTTCTCCCATTTAGGGAACATTGACAAAGGCTCTTTCACTGTTAATTTTTGGCTTTTGATATAGTCAATATCACTGTCACTAAAATGATATCATAATTACAAGTGTTAGGTGTACATAAATTTACCAGTTTGGTAGGTTTGGGTAACCATTCAGTCTATATTGAGGATCGTCCCGTTCTACTCCTATATTCAACAATATTTGAACAATGTATAAATACTTTAAAGCGTACTTACTAGTCAATTTTTGGTTGCCTTGAAAATTACTTATAACGCCCATTATGGGCAGTATTAAAAACAACATTACTATTTTTGCAATCAGTTAGTTTGAAAGGATATTCTTGACAGTAAAACAAAGCCATCTCTTCTCTGTCAAAAGTTGTCTGTCAAGTACCACCAGCATGTTTACGAACGCATTTTGTATTTTTCTTGTGTTAATACCAAGTGGTTCAAATTTTGCACAACCAAAAACTCTACCACAACGTAAGTCTCCAAAACATGCATCTCAATAATAATCTTATCAAAACTTAGGGATACATCGAAAGACTTACTCAAAGGAAGGTCAAGCATCCCTTACTAACTGGTAAAAAAGTGAAACTTTCGAAATTTTCTCTAGTTAACGAAAAATTTTAGCGCAAACGAAATAAAAGTAGCTGAACAGTACCCAATACCTTTGAACTTTGAACTCGTAGTACTCCCATTTTGGACAAACAACGACGAATTTAAGGAAGACCCAGATGTGTTGCAGAAATATAACTGGGCATACAGAATGGTCAAAGAAATAGGTGAGACACTTCCACTATCATCTTTCGATCTATTGTTCTATGTTGTAGAGTCGAATGGGAAAAAAATTGAACAATCCATCAACATTGAAAAGTTTGAAGACAAGAAAAGGGGGTCTTTGACGTTTCCAGCCTACAGTCTAACTCCAGGTCTTTATATGATTTATCCAAACGTTTCACGCAAAAGTCTAAAAGATAATCTAGAACCGTTCCTAATTAAAGTATGCTATTTGCGCTATACAGGTGTGGCTCCTATTGCTGTCATAACAGGTGGTACCTACAGACTAGTACCCAGTAATACTGAGATCGGTTTAAGCGGATCTGAATCCATTGATTTGAACCAACGTTCTAAAGATAGTACTACATTAAAGTACCAATGGACTTGTTCGCAAAAACGCACGCCACCAACCTTCTGTAAAACAAGTCCTATATCTACACAAGAAAGTTTCACTATACCCTCGAAATTCATTACAGCTGGTGATAAATTCGAGGTGGTACTTAACGTAAGAACTGTGTTTAACAATTCTGCTGAAACACGTCAAGACATTGAAATAATCTCAGATGGAGTACTTCTAGAAATGAGGTGTAAGAAAAATTGTCCCCCTGTGTCCGAATGGTCAAATATTAACAGTGTGACTTTCGTGTCAGTTGTTTGTTTGAAAAATTGTGATCATGTTAAAGAAGACAGCTTTATTTGGTCTATTAGTACTAAACCGGAACAGGCCTCATTTAAATTTCATTACATAGAAGACACAGAATTTGGAAATCGAGGACAAAAGTTTATTATTAACAAAGATGTATTAAAACCGATGGAGTATTCAGTGAAAGTAAGTTTACAGGACGGAAAAAACCGAAAAGGAGAGGCCGTGATGACGTTAACTTTTCAATCACCGCCGGAAGTTACTGCCTGTAGAACAGTACCTGCATCTGGTGACAGTCTTCAAACGTACTTTCTTATAGAATGTAACCAAAAACCCAGCCCGATACTACATTTTTATGAGTTATACTGTACACAAAAGGGCGGTAAGTATTATTTTCTAGTTTGATATTCAATATAACCTACAATTCCAACGCAGAAGACTTTTCGGAAAGCCAAGTCTTAATGGACGGTTTTTATCCAGCAGTTTATAAAAGACTATTTTTACTACCATCTTCAGACGGTCACACCTTTGTAGTTAAAATCTCGATAGAGAACGGTCCATTCACGTTGGTCCCCATTCAGCCAAACGTGAAATTTTTAAAAAAATCGTTCAAAGAGATCAAGAAACTTTATTTGAATCAAATTCCAAACTTGATTGATAATACCCGTCCCCAGAAACGTGAAGATGCAATCCAAACTTTTCAAACTTTAATAGATGAGTTGCGTTTTATGAAAAACGACGAAGAAATATTTCAAGGATTTGTGGAAGATTTTAAGTTTCAAGTTGTTGAAGATTTGCTGAAACTACCGTTGGTAACAAGTAGAGAAGTTATGAAAATGGGGGATGCTGTTGAAAAACTGATGGCCTACAAGGACCAAAACAAGTCTGAACCCTTGCTATTTAAATATAGTTCTGCATTGTGTAAAAAATTGGGTCAAAAGTATGTAGATGTGCTTCAAAAAGAACGGTTTCCTTTCAGTCATGAAGATATAAATAGCAAACTTGCTAGGTGTCAAAAAATAGATTGTTATATTGTAACCTATTAACAAAACTCGTAGGTCTGTGTTGAAATGTATGGAAGCTAACACTAATCCGAAATTTGAAATTCTGGAACCTTTTCCTTTTAACATTACAACAGTGGTACCGTCTGTAACCGAGTCAGTACTCGTTGAAAATTATCCTGATTATCAGGAGTTTAGTGATGAGTACTATAAAAACATAGAGAGCGTAAGTACTTACTTTAATTATTGAGCATTCAAGTAATAGTCGGTTAGTTACAAGAGGCTACAAATAATGTTTTGGAAGGTGCTTCAGCAGCTGCCAAGGTTATCTCACTGAGTACTGCCGTTGGTCAAAAACCGGTTCGCACTAAAGAAAAAAGTACCGAAATACTGGTAGCTAAAGACAGAGGTGATAATTTAGCTACAACGAAACTACAAACAAATGGAGTTGATTTAATACCTCCTCAAGATCTATCTGAAACGACACACCCTGTCGAAATTTTTGTAAACATCAAAAAACACTCTATCGCCTTTATAAAACTACTTTCAGATGTTAACGTGGACCAAAAATCTGTTTTGGTGGACCCCTAACAGTACTAAACCGTCGACAAACATAGTCAATGTGGAATTTTGGCTCCCCAAAGAGCGTCTCAGCAAATTTAACAAATCAGCAGAAATTTTTCTAAATGTTACTCGACGAAACGATGGCAAAGCCGTCACAGATGAAATTCATGTTCCAGAAGGCTACTCTGAAATATTTCATCAAAAATTAAGTCGCCATATTTACGTCCGTAGAGTAAATCTTCCTTCCAGGTCCACTCTTTTAGTGAAATTTTCTAACCTATCAACCACCGCTTTAAACGTAAAAAAAATATTTCGCCATTTGGGTTAACCAAAACGTGTTCTTGCAGGTTGTTGTTACACTTTTTAAGTTTCCAACAATCGAAGATTTTGCTCCACCGGAAACCATTGATGAAACAAAACAAAATCTTGTGTCAGCAACGAATTTTCACAGTTATGATGTTTGGGGCTATGTTGGTATTTTACCCAAAAGAGAAATCGTCAAAACAGAGTCTACAAATTCTATCAAATTTGAAGCTATTTTCTTTGCTTCATTCTGTATGCGTTGGAAACCATACAAGAACGAATGGCAACTTGCTTGTGAAGTATATTTGGATGTTTCAATTAAAGTTTCAATACTATGAAATGTAAATTTAGCCCGGAGGACAAACTAATCTGACCTTGATTCACTGTCTTTGCTCAGAATTTTCTACCATCGCTGGGTATAACCAAAACATCAAATCCATTCACCAAGAAGTAAATCAAGAAGAAATGGTTATTCTTCTGCGTGCAACTCCAATTGTCTTCATAGTGCTTGGCGTAATAGTAGCCCTATATTGTTTTTTGTTACCTCTCACTTTATGCAAAAAGGAGAAAGTAAGTACTACATTTTAGTACCAACAAAACAACATCAAAGATAACATTTTTAGAAAGCTATGTTATATTTTTTAGCCGACAACCTAGCCAAACATAGATATGCTTATCTAGTCTTGATAGTAACGGATAAAATTGGTACCACTTCCCACGTTACCATAAAAATTAATGGAACCAAAAATTCAACTCCTGTCAGTACTAAATAGTACCTCTTCATCTCTATAGTACTGATTTGTAGGCACACGTCCTGAATTATCCCGATCCCAAAAAGCGACTACTCCAAAAAAAATGTAAAGACGTTTTTGTTATCACGAGTAACAATCATTTAGGAAACATCCAAAACATCGAACTGTGGGTTGACTGTTTTGGTACAAAACCATCATGGTACGAAAATAATATCGTCAATAAATTGTTGTCTCAAACGTCTTTAGGTCTTGTAACAAGATCGAAATTTATGATTTACAGTGGAAACAAGCTTGGTATTTTGGAATTAATCGGTTACTTTCGACGCAAAGTGGCAATATTTACCTCACTCTGTATCCTACAAAGCGTGAACCAAAAAATCCAGTCAAGACAGTACTTAAAAAAGTCTCAATTTGGAATAATCTACACACTTGGTGTTTTTGGGCTCACGAGATGAACTTTTCCTACGTGAAGCGGCTTACGGTCGTACTGTCCACGATTTTGATGACATTTGCAATGGTTCTTATAATCGAAGGAGTACCGGAGATGGAATTAAGGGACATTTTCGATTTGAATGGTTTTACATTTGGTCGGTATGATGTTTTTGCGGGAGTGTTAGGTTCATTGGTGGCTTTTATTACTCATATCTTGTTGGCCTGGAGTTTCCGGTAGGTACTGATAATAAACGATTGGGTCGGTACTACTATTTTTACTTAATTTAGGGTATCGACGCTTCAGTTTTCAAATGTTTCTAATGATAGTGAACTCCCCTACAGCGTAACCAAAGGATGTTGGTAAGTTGTCAAACAATCTTGACACACTATACACTCAATTTTAGGCGACTATTAACCATTTTAATAATCGCATCAACATGTTTTCTGATCGTGGCAGGATTTTGGTTACCATACAATCGTAGCTGGGTATGGCTAACAGCTTGTGGTATAGGTATAATTTTTGACATCTTCGTGTACGAAAATATAGTCATCATGATTTTCAGTTTTTTCCAAGAACATGAAAAGGTACTCAATCATTTCACTTTTTCGGTTAAAAATTATTCGTTTTCAGATTGAACATTTCGGGAAACATCTTGACACAGTCTTAGGAATCATCGAGAAACAAAGAAGATTTCTACTTCAACACTTTGGAAATACGTTGTTACGACCCCAGGTGGAACACCTGCACAAACCTTTAGAAAATGCCCAGTTTAAGGTAAGGTTGAACATTTCAACTAGATATTTAATTGATTTGCAGGAACGCAAAATGAAAGACAACCTCCGAAAGAACTTTTCAGAAGAAATCGTAGACTTGGTGATGTTCACCGTCTACATTTTGCTTCTGTATATTGTAATTCTTGTAAATAAAGATAGTTCTGCAGTCTTCAGCAAAAAAGAATTGGAAAATATGTTTAATGGAAAACACACGAGGACTTTGGATTTTACTTCAGTTAAATCCACTGATGGGTAAAATAATCTTTAGTAGTACTCGGGGTACCATTTTCAATTTTGTAGAATGTATCGATACATTAATGAGACGTTAATACCAGTACTACAACCTCAGTACTGGTACGAAGGAGTCCCCATTTCAGAACCTGGAGTAATGGTCGATTTTGCCAACAAATATTTAGGGATTGTACGATTTCGGCAACAACGAGTAAAAAGCAACGCTTGTACCATTAATCAATTGATGAAGTTCTTGAACGTGACAAAGTGTTGGCCCGAACTCACTATTTCGAACACGGAGACAAAACATTTTGGCTACAAATGGGGAAACTTTTCGAGTATTTTAATGCTAGATAGATTACGCTCAATTTGGAACTACCTTGGAGAAACTGAGACCAAAACACTAACTTCGTTTGGTGAGCAAAATTAGTTTCGTTTCATAGAAATTTAATTATCGTTTAGGTGAATTCGGCTTGTATTCCGGGGGAGGTTATTTATCATATTTGGGACGAAATATACGTAACTCTTTAGTCAACTTTCGCCAGCTCGTGCGAAGAATATGGGTCGATGAAAGAACCAGAAGTTTCTTTATAGAGTTTTTGACCTACAATACCAACAACAATGTGTTCAACGCAGTTAGATTGCTATTCGAGAAAAGTGCCACTGGCTATGTATCTAATACTATTCTGGTAAAAATTTATCATGTTTTGCTGAGTGGTAACTTCTGCTTCTAGATCTACCCCGCTCGGATGATCTTTATCGAAAATGAAATCGAACAAATGGCTATGGTTTTCTTCGCTTTGTTTGTCTTGTGGGTTATAATTCTCTTCTTCAAACGTTCGGTCGGAGTGATCAAAAATATCACCAGTTTCTACAAAAATTTCTGGTTAATGGTAGATATCATAATTATAATCACGAGTTTGATCTGTATTATAGTATACTTCGTTCGGTTGAAATTGGTACGTTCCTACCTCGACACTTTAGAAAACGTCAAACACAACCAGTTCATCCATTATTTTGCGCTGTTCTACATTGAAGAATTCCTATCACTTGCTGCAGCTTTCTTAGTTCTAATTTCTACAGCACGTCTTTGGAAATTCCTCAGATTCGGTCTCTTCTTCAGAATCATGGAAACCACTCTTTCCAGGGGTGCTTTTCCTCTACTATCTCTAACCTTCGCCTTTTTCGTAATCCTGATGGCGTTTGGTTTGAGCGGTGTTCTAATTTTCGGAGACGAATTTCCAGAATTATCTTCATTGATCAAAATTGTAGCAACTCTCATCACTCTATCGTTAAAACCAGACCAGTTTGAAATAACCAAATACACGGAATTCACAATTGCTTACTGCTATTTTTCTTCGTACCTTCTTTTAATGCAAGTAATTATTTTTGTCTACATAATAATAATAATAATGTCGTACATAAAAGCCCGTTTTGACTTTTCCGGAGAAACTCCAACCTACAATTTTTCTAACTTCTTCAAAGAAAAAACCCACTATATTCTTAAACTTTTTCGTCGCAAACGCGACCATTTGAGCGGAGGTGAAGACAGGAAAAAAGTAAATCCCAAAAGTAACGAATTTCACTATGCTAACTGTCTGTACACTGAGAGAAGTACTATGCGAATTATGGCAAGTATAACAAAAGGTGTCATCAAACACATGGAAAAAGAAGATCGTAATGAGGATTTGAGTGCGGACGATATTCAACTAATGTTGGAAGTGTGTCGAGGCATCATTTACGGAGTCCATGAAGACGATAAAATTGAAATTTTCTTTAAAGGGCATTTTGTGGGGGAGAGGATCCAAGTGATTGATGAAAACCGTATTATGAGAGTGGCGTATGTTGTCGAATTGTTGCTGCAAGACAAGAAACAGGTTTTAAAACCGAAGGAGACGATTAAAAACAATCAAGACACACTGAAAAGGTGCGATTTCATGCTGAAGCACATTTATGGTAAAGTAAGGAATCTTAGTTTAGAAGAAATAGGCAAAAGTTAAATGTAATTAGTGATGTTATTGTGAATATTATCTTTGACAACAATGTTTACGTTGTTTTTTTTTTAATAACGATTATTGTGAGATTTCAGTCTTGAGTGTCATGTCCATACAAAGCCGTACGATAGTTTCAAGCCGATACCCACCCTCTCTTCGCCAGTGTGACGTCACAACTGTAAGCAGATATTTCGCACATACTTTATTTTCTTGAAGGATGTTATTTGCCAAATCAGTCTTATCTTAGCAAGTACCAGCCCCGCCCACCCACCCACGCTATTCTCATTCTAAGGACTAACTTTATTTCTGTTCAGTGTGGGATCCACTTTCATTCAGACCAGATAAAATGAGTCACTGAAATGGAGGCTGGGTGGGTGGGCGGGGTTAATTATATGTTCTTCTGTAGAATAGGAGTGGGGTTCTTATAAAAGAAAAAAAGGCCTAACAGTAATTTTTTTGTTATACCAGTTACTTTAAGATTTATTTCTTATTTTGCAAGAAAAAATGAGAAAACGGGTGGGTGGGCGCGGCTAAGTTTAACTTTTTCTTGCAAAATCCTCTATAAGCAAGGAATAGTCCCGCCCATTATTAATTATTGATGATATTATAAATTATTTGAAACAAAAATTAAAACATTTATCACCTCACTAAAGATGGGTATATGTGAAACCAAACGTCAATTACAAAGGTGGCAAAACTGAAGGATTTTGTTGTAATCAAGGCGATCATGATGACGTTCTTCCAGCCTCAACTATTCAGACCTGATTCGGTCTCTTCTGTCACATAGTAAAGATGTTACAGGGCTTTTCCCAGTTTCTAATCAAAAATTTGACTTCCTAGATACATTAACAAAAAATATACTTCAGGTGCTAACAGACAAGTACGAAGTGGTATACAGTGACAATCTTACTATAAATCAAAAATGTTTGAAACTTTTGGGGACGGCAAATTTCAAACAAGTTTCATCAATCCGTATAAAAACCACCCAATTTTTAATTTATTTGGACCTGTTCGTTTATTTAAAATTCTGCGCAATATTGGTTAAACCAAAAAGACTAAATCAAACTTTTATCATACCAAAAATTCCTGAAGAATTTTTGCGATATTAACTGTACATTTTTAAAGCATCTCTATCAACAAAATTGTGTTGTAAAATTGGTTCCATTGTTAAGTCGAAAAGTTTTATTTCCAACTTCTGTATTCAAAATTTAGTTTTTAAATCATGAGTGGTTAATAAATCAGTGAATTAAATGTCGTCGTGGATTCGAAAGGGAAAAGGGGTTTTTATCCTGATCTTGTGTTATGTTTTATGTTTTCTATGACTCCAATTTTAGAATGCTTAAACTCGGACGTACTTCTCAAAGCGACGTATGTACCGAATGATATTTTGTGTTTTGATAAAGTGTTGCATCATTTAACATCATGTAAATTATTTGCTTGAATCGTTAACAAAGTGTGGCAAATATTAATATTAGGGTTAACCTCATGTAATTTTGTTAGCTTTGCAATTTTTCACCTCATGCTATTTTTTTCTATCTCACAATTTTAGCCTCAGCAATTTTCTTTCGTATATAATTTAAATTGAACGTAAATTTTCATGCTCTGCAGTTCCTAACCCCACGTAATTTTTTTGTCTGGACAAGTTTTACTTCACACCAGATCTTTATTGTTTTCATAAATCTTTACTAGTTATTTCTACCACCTAAAAATTTTGTTGATAAATGCTTCCATCATAAATGTCCAGTCTTAACCTCCGATAAGAATTCTTTGCTGTTTCAAATTCCACGAGAGGGTATGACGAATTTAAATGTCGTTTATTGCTCCTTTTGAAACTTTAACACTTATTCGGTTGTAGTTTAACATCAGAGTCATAGAAATTGAACATTTAAATGGGATTGAGGTAAATAACACAGAAACACATGGTGGAAGCGGAGTGCACGGTTCCTTGTCGAGCTAACGGTCGCGCCATCTGCATCAGTCGGGATAACGTGACGCTCGCACGTTTCTTTGTTAGTTAAAGGGGTGCTGGGTGGCATGTGCTTGCCGGTAGAGTAGAATCAGCATCGTGGTGGAAGAACAGCCACAACCAGGAGCCCCAAACTCCGCTCGTGCTACAACGCCCCCTATGGGTAATTCTGTTATGCTCTAGATTAAAATTGATATAGTTCGATCGCCACACTCTTATAGCGACCCGGGTGCTCCCCTCACTTTGGAGTCATAAGCATTCACGAGGAGGCGCTCTGGTGCTGCATAGTTTTTATTAAAATTTTGTTGTCTTGTTGACTGCCATAATTTTAAATTTTCCACCACACCTCCGTAATAACTTATGTATTTGCATCCAGTTGCTTTACTTCAGATTTTCTTTCACACAAGTGAGCATACACTGCGTGCGAGTAGAGAGCGCAAGAAATATTAGACAAATTTTTTTGGAGGGGGCTAAAAATCGCACCCCTTTCTAGGAGGAAAAGAATCTGCGAGCGAGGGCGACTCGTGACTTGCCTTCAGGCTGCCCAAGGGGGGCCGAATCGAATTCACTTCTCAGCTTTCAAAAGCCCCCTATGGTTTATTCACCCACATATAATACATCCCAAATGAAACACATAAAAATATGACAGAAAGAGACAACCGCGACTTGACAGACATACACATATGGGAAACCGAACAAGTGGAAAAACGCTACGTATATGGTTTTGAATCAATGCAAATATCTGAATATCACAAATTTCATAGAAACTAAGGAAATTCGGAATTAAAGTAACTGGATGCAAATACACATGTTATTACAGGCGTGTAGCGGCAAATTTAAAATTATGGCACAACAAAAATACCCATAAGGGCGTTCTAGCACAATTGGAGTTTGGGGCTCCCAACCGTGGCTGTTCTCTCCCGCGACGGTGATTCTACCGTCCTAACCAGGCCGTTACAGTCGAAAACTAGTGGTTGGATGTCACGGCTATGAATGAGCTGACAGCGTCACGTCGTCTAGACCGTTCCCCTGCATTCTGTACAAAGTCTACATCCCTTGTGCAGATGGCGCAACAAATCCCGCTAGCCCCACTAGGAACCGCGCCCTCCGCTTCTGTTACGTGTTTCGGTGTTATTTAACCTCAATTTCATTTTAAATGTTCAATTTCTAAGTGTTAAAGTTTCGAAAGAGCAATGAATAACAATTAAACTCGCCATACAATCTTTGGAAATTTTAAACAACAAATAATTCTTATGTGAAATTAAAATTGGACATCAGATAATTTATACGATGGAAACATTCATCAACAAAATACTATTTACAAAACAAAAACTAGTAAAGATTTATTAAAACAAAAGATCTGGTGTGAAATAAACTTGTGCAAATACAAATATTATGTGAGGTTAAAACTGCAGAGAATGAAATTTACGATCAATTAGATTTATACTACCAAGAAAATTACTGAGGTTAAGATTGTGAGATAGAGAAATATTGTATGAGGTGAAAAATTGCAAAGCTATCAAAATTTACATGAGATTAATACTTGCCACACTTTATCAACAATTCAAACAAAGAGTTTACATTATGTCAAATTATGTCATGATCCAAGTGATTGGTTACTTAAAAACAATTTACTTTCAGAGTTTATAATACCATGAACTGATTACCCCAACAAAACACATAATAAATAAACACAAAGATATCCAGTCATCGTTGCGAGGAAAAAAGAGTCTCAATAATGTAAATTTTAGCGTTGCGAGGAAATGCCTCGATGATGTAAATTTTGACGTTGCGAGGAAATGCCTCGATGATGTAATCAATCTTTAAGTTTGCGAGGATGATGTAATGATGATAACGATGATAACTGCCTAAGGGAAAACATTATTTTAACCCCCCGCCAGTCCACGGTACGAATTAGTTAATTTAACTGCAGTAACTGAACTTTTAGCAATCTTATGTGAAGAACTAAGAAGTGTTATAATGTAACACTTACGTATATGCATCCAGAAACCTCATTCATAATTAAACAAACAAAGGTGTTATCCTGACTAAGTAAATTTCATGAAATCTTCTAGCAAGTGATTTATTTAAATAATCCTGATTGATAAATTGTGTTAGCACTAGTTGACGATTAAACAAACTAACCTGATCCGTGAATTGACAAACAATAAAACAAATTTACACCACGTGGTCCGCGTTGGACGAAAGTCCGCACTTTTTCCGATTAAAAGGCCGCAAGAACAAGCTACGCATATCGGGCAAAACTGTGACGTTGTCGCTAAACAAAAGCTTCCTCCCTTTTATTAACTACCAAACCAACTAATTTAACCTATAGCGTCCTTTCACCATGCATCCGCACGTCACCGAACCAAAAACAACAACGACACATCCTGTCAAGGGCAACTACCGCCCTCTAACTAAACATGCAGAACTACCCCCAAGCGCCAACGTGCACATGATTGCCTATGTTTAAAGATTTTTTTTTTAATTTCTCTTTCAAATTCCAATTATTCAAATGTGATTTCGCGCCGCTGTTAATTAATTTCGGTCACCACAGTACCTACTATTACATTTAATTATTTGTTGCTTTATAATAAAATATGTTATTTGCACTGAGTTTATTTCTCCAGGTTTATTTGTTATTTTTTGTGGATATTTTAATTGTTTCTTGAACTCATGAAGACTGCATTTCACCGTTGGTTTGTTCGCGCAGCAGTCTTCAATCGACCACCACTTATGACGACTTGTGACGTCACGAAAGCTGGATTCTACCCTTAGATCATATAATAATTTATTATATGATCTAAGGTTCTGCCAGTGATGGTTCTGCCATGTCTGTTGCATGAAGAAGAGAGAACAGGTGATTTGACCGCGAAATTCAAATTGTCCAAAATTTTGTGGGTACGCCATCACAGGCAGATTTTCCTACCTACATCTAATTATATATTTTACGTCTAACTTCATTACACACCGAGCGTTTTTAGGACTAAATTTTCTTCGTACAGGTAGTTTAAAACAGTTTTACAAAGTAACTCATACGTTGTGGTTTCTGGATGCATATACGTAAGTGTTACATTATAACACTTTTTAATTCTTTACACAAGATTGCTAATAGTTCATTTACGCAATTAAATTAACAAAATTCATACCGCGAACTGACGGGGGCTTAAAATAATGTCTTCCCTTAGGCGGTTATCATCGTTATTATCACCGTTATCATGATTACATCACCGGGGCATGCCCTCACAACGCTAAAGATTGATTACTTCATCGAGGCATGTTCTCCCAACGATATGGATTGACTACATCACCTGGGCATGCCCTCACAACGCTACTTCATCGAGACATGTTCTCGCAACGCTAGAGATTAATAACACCATCGAGATATTTCCTCGCAACAATAAAATTACATCAACGAGACGCTTTTTCCTCGCAACGATGATTGGATATGTTTGTGTTTATTTATTATGTGTTTTGTTGGGGTAACCAGTTCGCGGTATGCTCAACTCTCAAAGTAAATTGTTTTTTTTTTAAGTAACCAATCACTTAGATCATGATATAATTTAACATAATGTAAACCCTTTGTTTGAATCGTTGATAAAGTGTGGCAAGTATTCATCTCATGTAAATTTTGTTAACTTCGCAATTTTTCACCTCATACAATATTTCTCTATCTCACAGTTTTAACTTCAGTACTTAATTGTCCTTTGTTGTATAATTTTCATTGAACGTAAATTTCATTCACTGCAGTTTTAACCTCACATAATATTTTTGTTTGCACAAGTTTATTTTACACCAGATCTTTTGTTTCATAAATCTTTGCTAAGTTTTGTTTTGTAAATATTTTGTTGATGAATGTTTCCATCGTATAAATTATTTGATGTCCAATTTTAATCTCACATAAGAATTATTTGTTGTTTAAAATTTCACAAGATTGTATGGCGAATTTAAATATTGTTTATTGCTCTTTCGAAACCTTAACACTGGTTCGGTTGTTGTTAATATCAGTTATAAGAAATTGAACATAAAAAAATGGAATCGAGGTTAAATAACACAGAAAACGTGGCAGAAGCGAAGTGCGGTTCGTAGTCGAGCTGGCGAGATTTATCGCGTCACCTGCACAAGGCCGCAGGTTTGTATAGAGTCAGAGGAGGTCGCCGGTGTTGCAACGCTGTCGATTTGGCCCAATATAGATGTGCTTGGCGGTAGGCTTGCGATAGATAGAATCACCGTCGTGGGGGGAGAACAGCCCCGACTGGTAGCCCCAAACTCCGCTTATGCTAGAGCGCCCCATGGGTATTTTTGTTGTGCTCTTATTAACTGCCGTAACTTTAAATCTGACCCCACACGCCTGTAATAACTTGTGTATTTGCATCCAGTTACTTTAATTCAGATTTTGTTTTGTTTTATTAAATTTGTGATATTCAGATATTTGCACTGATACAAAACATATGTGTAGGATTTTGTGTTTGTTCGGTTTTCATATGTGTATGTATGTCTGTCAATTCGCGAATGTCTTTTCTTTCATATTGTTAAGGTGTTTCATTTGAAATGTAATAAATATGTCGGTGAATATACGATAGGGGGTTTTTGGGCTGAGGAGTGAATGCTCGCAACGTAGGTTTCCATTTTGTTAGACGATCACAGCCAAGACCAAATTTTGAATTTTTCGCGGGCCTTTCAAACTTTTTCAAGGTCAATTTAAGGCAGGAAGTTTGGGTTATCACAAGTTAGGTTATAATTAATCCAACCATAAACAAAAGCAATGCCATGACGTCATGAAATTTTTGAAATGTAGGAGTACCGGCACGAAAATTTAAGAGTTTTGTACAAATCGAAACTCGCCACAGATTTACTTACTGATTTATTTATAACACGCATCAATAAAACACAATCCTTTTTATATACAATATTTTATTGTTTTTACAATAGGATAAAAAATATAAATAGATAATACATATATAAAAACATATCGAGCATTTACAAACATTCAAATCTGGCAAGAAGACTTGTATCTTAATACTGCCATACGTTAGTACTTAAGCCTAATGAGTAAGTTGTACATTTTTCGAAAAGTTAGAAACTTTAGAATATTCGCATAGATAGATCGTCCAAAAATAACGCAATATACATGTTAATAGTAACCTTCCAGCACACCAGTTTTTATTAGGCCTTTTTTTACAACAATCCAGTCCACAACGAAATTTTATTTCTTGTCTATTTACATGACATAAAGGCATATGTCATTATTGCCTAGTTAAAAAGTGGAATGTTGTGCGATGTCAAGATCAAAACATAAATACTACCTTGATGGAAACAGACTATCATACGAAGGAGGTAAGTCTTTATCTTCATCTGTAGGGTTGGCACTACTGCTATTAGCTTGCGCAGGCGCTGATCTAGATCCTGTTTGCTCATTCATTTCAATAACTCTTGGCTGTAAACACGTAATATAAAAACTGCGTTAAAATGTAGCAAAAACTTACAGCTTCACTTGACTGACTCTGCGGCGTCGCAGAATTGGGGTTAGCAAAACTCTGAGACCAACAAAATATTTTATACGTTTTACAAATCCACAAACACAAAATAAATAACGCAAAAACGACAAATACTGACGACACGGCTCCTATGAGTACTTTATTCCCATAATAGTAATCAATTACTTCCTGCAACAAAATATTAGAATCGTGCGTTTCAACCATTTTATAATTACTGTTGGCTTTGAACATCCTTGCTCATCCTCACAGTCTGGCAAAGGGCAATTAATATAAGAGTCTGAGAAAAAACCTGAATAAATACAAAATTCTTTCCGTTCGTTGCTGCAGGGGCGATACGCTATATCGCGTTTATATACTTGAGAACAATCTGCAATCACTATATAATTATCACCGCCTACAGTTAACCCAATACTTACGTCTATATGCAGTAAAAACAATACTGATGCCACTTTCTTCCTCACTTTTCAGCTGTTCCCTAGCTACATATATGTAAACATCAAGTTCACCTCTTTCATCAACAAAGGCAGTCCCTGATGATATCGGCTCCGACGGATTCACAAAATGGCGATCCATTCGGAGCGCTGCGTTAAACCTTCCACAAAACTTCTGACTCGAAGAGCCATCCTTACGACCGAATTGCACATAATCTATACACTCGTCAGTCGTAGAATTTTTACGAAAAATTAAATGTTGTATCACAGCAATGATTCCTTCACGAGAAGAGGCAGGAGAAACTTGAAACTTACATTTGAAATTTTGGTTCCATTTAGTAGAATGGTCGTCCAAACGAGTTTGTGTCACTATTAAACCCGACCGTGGTCCCTTGTCTAGTCTTATTTTACGTCTTTTAATTGGCGAACACAAATCGTCGTCTTCTACAGTCACTGAAAACGTAAATTGTGAAAAGGGGATGGAAAAGGGGGCTCATCTTACGTTCCACATATTGGTGGGAATATCTAATCATCAGAGAGATTAAAAGGGTGTAACTAGCTAAGTTTAACTTCATGGTTTACGGTGTTTAAGGGCTCACATTGTTTAAAAACTTTTAGAAGCTTCGCACATTTTTTGCATAATTGACAAGGTGACAGACGTCAAGTTGACGTTTGACACTTCCTGGACCAGAAAACAAATGAATGGAGAAGAGTGAAGTTAGCGCGATTGTTTTTATACGTACTAAATTAACCTAGTAGCTTATTCGTTTAATTTACACATTTTTTAGCACCTTCTATAAATATAGATATTGCAGTAATATTTAAAACATTGCTAAAAATAGAGAACCCTCGTTTCGAGTTTCAAAACTAGTGACTTTGGATGTGTTTGTGGTATCGTTGGCAGGCTTGACACAAAATCGTTGGTTTGACATGTGTCATTTTCAAAAATCAAACAAACACTACAATGACTTCTCTAACCGGAGAATTCAGTGATTTAAGAAAAACCGAGCCCGAGAATAAACCAATAATTGAAAGAAATGCCCTTAGTACTATTAAAAGGTGATTTTCGCTATGTACCGTACCACTCGTAAAACTCACTTTTCAGACCTCGACAATACCAGCGTCGCAAAATCAACATTATGCCCTTGTGTTTGGACGAAATTCAAAAAGAAATCGATGAAGCTGTAGCCGATTCTGGACGCACGTGGGAATTTCCAAAAGGCTCGTCTGAAAAACCTGAGTCAGATAAAGAAAATGAAAGCAAACCTCAGCCACAGCTTCAAGACAGTTTTGATTTGAACTTCGCCGCTCTCTCATTGAATACTCCTGCTAAACCATCAGAAGTGGTAAAACCCGCAAAGTTTGTCACTCCGTCTGAATACAAATCCACAAATTTTCTTAGAACAAGTCGATCGTTGAACTTTCAGCATGCCACTCCTAATAACAAAGTTCCAACAAAAGTGCAATGTAGTGTGAACATGCAGCCATATCTTAAAACGCCCATTACTAAGGTTTTAACAGCTCAAAAATCAAAGCAAAATGACAGTGGATCAGAGACAGTGCAATTATCGGTACCTCGAGAAATTGGTTTCCACAAAATGAAAGTGAACAATGTGACATACGTAATTTTGAATGAGTTAGGAAAAGGGGGTAGTTCTGAAGTCTTCCAGTGTTTCAATATACAGACAAAGGCGCTACGTGCCATCAAGGTGGTTTCTTTGGAAAATCGGACCTCCGCGATTGGATTTATTAATGAAGTGCAAACATTGAAGAGGTTACAAAAGTGTAATCGCATCATCAAGATGTACGATTTGTAAGTATTTTCGTGATTTGTACAAAGCGCCATCTACAATTTATTTCTATTGTTAACTTGGTGCATTATACAGTTGCGCCTCTAGCGGAGATTTACACAAGTCGTATTCATGTTTCAGTGAAATCAAAGAAGAAGAGAATGTCTTATTGGTGGTATTAGAGGTTGGAGGGACTGATTTATCCAAAATATTGAAGGAGTCGGCGTCAAATACAAATCATATGCCACTATATATGCTTTTGTATTACTGGATGGAGATGTTATATGCTGTTAAACAGATACACTCAAATGGAATCATCCACTCTGACTTAAAACCAGCGAACTTTTTGAAAGTTGAAGGTTACCTCAAGCTGATAGATTTTGGCATTGCGACGTGCATGCAAGGTGATATGACAAGTGTGGTCAAATTTGTACCAGAGGGTTCCTTCAATTATATCAGTCCAGAGGCTTTGAGTGGCACTGATTGTAGTACAAATGTAGATAGCCCTTCTTACGGAAAACCAAAGTACAAAGTAAGTAAATAGGTGTTATTTCTAGAATCAAAAAGATGAGTAAAAACGGAAATTTGATTTTTTCGTACGTAAGTTGAACTTTTTCCTGCAGAGTATTTTATAGACAAGTAATAGCCCCACCCACCCACCCCCTCCTCATTTTAGTAACTTCTCTTAATACTGTTATTAATTACATTATTATTTTATTGTAATTTTAGTCAAATCAGTTTTGATGATAAAATAGATAAGTTGTTGAACGAAAACGAAGTATACAGAAAGTATTAATCTGTTGTTAAATAAGCATACCAGACGTGAGAATCATATTTAAAAAGCAAAGTTACTGATGCTTTTGAGGATTAAATTTTTTTCCAAAAATCTGGATGTCTTGGATAAAAACTCAACACGTGTAGGAATATGTTATTTTACACAGTTTAAAACCCATTTACTATGTACAGTTTTGAAGTGAAATAAAATCAAATAATAATAATTTTGGCCAATGACAAACCCTCTAAGAAAAGAGAGGGCGGGTGGGCGGGACTAGTACCTGCTAAGATATAACTGATTTTGGCAAATGAGATATCGTCTAAGAAAAAAGAGGGCGGGCGGGTGGGGTTAGTACCTGTTGAGACTGATTTTGGCAACCAGGGGACCTAAAATTAACTGCAAACATTTTAAACGTAGGATTTTGAAAACTTGGACAATTTTTGGTACGTCAAACATTTTTAACTGCTTACTCGATTTTTGCACCTCATTTGTATATTATCCGTTCACGATCTTTATATAGTAGGGTTAGCCATGAAAATCTAGTGAGTTTGTTGGTATTCGATGCAGAAGAATAAAAATTCCCTGAACTTGTTTCGTTAGGTTATGTTAAATTAAAGGTTAAAAAATATGCTATAAATATAAATATTGTTGCCGATACTTTCAGTTTTAAGTAGCAATGACCAAGTTAACGGTATCCATTTCATAGAAAGCATAAAACTTTACGCTATTTAAAACAGTTATTGGGCTTTTTGTAAGTGTTTATTTCATATGTAAGGAACAAACACTAAAATTTCACTTAAACATTGTTTTTATATGAATGGGGGTTCTACATACGACTATTGTCGCATGTCACATTTAGCATCTCATCTTAATTCTCAATAATCAGTTCGTTTTGCTCGCCCACTCTTCTTAGAAATGGAAATTTCGACCTTTATGAACAGCCTGTTTCCATATCTTCCAACTTCTTTTTGCACTTTTCTAAGATTACTAAAATGGTTGGTAAAAGACAACAACCTTGCTCTAGTGCTTTGATGGGTTTAGCTCTTCTGAAACATTTTTCCGGCCTTAAATTGAATGATTTATCTATATAGCTATTAATAATGCTTACGTAAGTGCTCTTTATTTGCTTTTACTAAGTACTTCCAAACGCTTATTAATAAGAACGTTAGTATACGCCTTCTCCAGGTCCATGAAGAGTTACAAAAAAAATGAAAACGCTTAAAATTTGGTGCAAAGTAACAACGTGGATGATCTAACTAAAATTATACTTATTTTGTTGTACGTCAGGTAGTTTTTCACATACTACCTTGGTAAATTTAGAACGAAAAATGCGTAAAAATATCACCCCCCGACAAGCTACAATTCAACCGATTTCCATTATTTCGCTATGAAAATCTGTCTCATCACCGTCATTTTCAAATTCAGATTCTGAATCAGATTCACCCAGCGAAATAATGAAAGGAGGTATAGATTCGTACGAAAGATTTCCCATATTTTTTTCCCAATCTGCCAAAATAAGTTTTTCACAATGTTTACAAAAATTTTGACATGCTTGGAGTACATTTAGAAAGCTCCTCAAGCCATAAATTCTCCACCCTATTTTTTAATGAAGGTTGAGAATTTATATGCTTGTTGTAATAGTTCTTACAAAATCTCCACGCCATTTCAATTGGATTATATTGACAATGGTACGGAGGTAATCTAAGAACTTCATGGCCACTTTCTCTTAATGTCTCGTCTACCAAATATCATTTTTTTATTGTTTCTGAAGGGTTTATTTAAATCCCACGACTGTTTCTTCAAAAAATTTTTGTCAAATTCAACACTATGTTTAAAGAGCCATTCCTGCATTTCACATTTTTTACTAGAAAAACTGGGTGGTTTATCCAACTGAACCGAATGATACGGTGCATTGTCTAAAACCATCACACATTTTTGGTTCAACTTCGCCAAAGCAGGAATGAGCTGATTAACCACCCAATTTTGAAAAATTGTCGCGTCCATCGTTTTATGATAGTCTCTATCGTTATTTTTTGAATTTAAAAAATTGTTACAACCATCCGAGAACCCCGTTGAAGACCCCGCGTGGAGAATAGCAAACCTTGATCCTTCACTTTTAATTTTGGTGGGATTGCTTTTTAGATCAGCATCATGCACCCAGCGACGAATGGACGAACCATTTTGATAGATCCATGTTTCATCCAAATACACGAAAGTCAAATTTTCACAAGAATTTAGAAACTGTAAATAGGTTCTCAAAAAAGTAATTTTGGCTGCAACGACATGTTTCTGTTCACATAGAATTTTGCTACCATTTACTTCCCTGTGTTTATAACCCATTGACTTAAGAATTTTGTATAATGTGGTTCGCCCCCCTTTAAATTCCAACTGTTCCCTAGAATATGCCAAAAGAGTACCTACAGAGAAATATTCGTTTTTTTCATTAAGTTTCAAAATTTGTCGTTGCAGGTCTTTCCGAAACATATAACTTGTAAATAAATCCGTTGGTTTTCGCTTGCCAGATAGTGGTGTTTTTAAATTTTGGTCCCCTGTTGATAAAATTTTCGCCACAGTTGATGTTCCCACCTATGAGAAAAAAAAAAAATAAAAAATATTTTGCAGCGTATTTTTACATTACAGAAAATATGTTCAAGACCCTCATAGTTACTTCTTAAAAAGAAAGATCGGGCCTGTCTTTTCGAAACCGCAAAATACATCTTTTTATTACAATTTTTTGTTACAGTGAAACTATTTTAGGCATTTTCTTTTTAAATAATAATGTCGCAATGATCTGGGAATCTGTCACAATGACAAAAATATCTATGCTGACAAAATTAAAACATTTATTTGCTTGATTAAAAAATTGCGTCTAATAATTCTGATCTAATAAATGAAGTAGAAAAGTGGCAGTCCAGCTCAAAGCAAATGTCAATCAGACTACTGACACAAAAAACTAAATCATCAAATCAGTTTATCCAACTTAAAGAAAAAATATCAAAGCCTACTTTAATCTGTGTACCGTAATAAAAACCCTTTTTCAAAATTGTAGACGACTGAACATCTTTTTGATTTTATTCTTGTCATTACTTTCCACATAAAAAATTGCGCAATGTATAGGTCATTCTACAAAGTAGGAATTATTTCATAGTTTTTTGAACCACATGTTTCTCGAATTATTTATGAATTCTTATTATGTTATGATATAGTTCTAAATACGTTATTTATTAGCTACGCTAAACCAGTCAGTTAAAAAAATGAACATTTTAAATTTTATTCAATTATGTATTATAAATTAGTAGTCAGAGAACTGAGAAAATCAGAAAAATAGTTTATTAATAATTTCATGAGTCTCAAAAATAGACGTTTCATTACTTGTGTAGAAAACAAAACGCAGAAACTGCTATTTTACAAAAGCAAATAAAACGTGAGTGCCAAAAGTAATAAAATATTGAACTTTGTAGAGTATTTTTTTCTAAAATTCATAATAAAGTAAAAATTCAGATAAATAAAAAAAGAAATTGAGACGATTTTTTTATTATTGTGCTTTTTATCAATTATTTCATGTTAATGAAACGATGCATATACCGGATGTCTGGAAAATAGGCGATTCACTCTTCAGCACGTTATGTGCGAGAGTTTCGGGAAATAATAAAAAAGAGAGTGCGTCGACCCAGGGACACACGGATAGAGTTTTAATTTTGCCTTGTCAATTTATATAAATTAAATACATATACGCGGCGAAACCATTAATTTTCTCTTAAAAAGTAATAAAAACCAAAAATATATTGCATTTATATTTTTTGACAAAATGATGATTAATGATGATGATTGGATTAATGAAAGTACATAAATATCCATGTATTGTCAATTGTTGTTTATTATAAAATATACTTTTTTTATTTATTTATCATATAGAAATATCATAATTAATTATAATAATATTGTATAAAAAAAACAAGTAACAAGTAAATATTTACAAATGCTAGAACAGTATTTATAAACTTACTCGATTTAAAATACAAATTACTGTTCAATCATAACGTGATCGCCTTCGGTATCTTTATTCCTATTATTTAATACAGTTATTAGTGGCCTATGGTGGCTAAAATGAGTGATATAAATATCACTCTCTTCTTAAATGAGTAATAAACCGTGTGAAAACGACATCAATTGTTGTACCTAATTTAGTCGTTGGAACAGTCAAACGAACACATTTTATTAAATAGTTTATTTCTCTTTCTTTCTATTGTGCGGCGTTACATGCCTATGTTCAGACTCAATTCAGATCGGTGTCGGTGTCGAATACGTGTTCTACATACAATACGAAAAGAAAGGAGTTAAAACTCCAAAAATTCTTTATCTTGTAGATTACGAAAAAAACGTCATTTTTTTTTAAATTGGCAACACTGCACACAATGCGTGAATACCTCCGCTATATTTCTGATTTCTTAATAACAACCAGTAGTCATTAATCGTTGTGCATTATTATTAGGTTTCGGATTTTAGGTCGTTAAAAAATGAATAAAAGGAGACATTTTTAGGTCCCAAAATTGACGAATTAGGTTATAAAAATCTTGGTTTAGATTAAAAACCTGGAGGAAAAAATATTTGCTCAACGAAAAAGCATACATCAAAAAAATATATATTAAAAAAAAACATTCAACAAAACATTATAGAAACAAATATTTTGTGTAACAAACAAAAAAATGATTAAATAAATAAACGATCTATAGTTGCGTCCACTAATTCTAAGTTAT